TGCTGCGCTACCATGAAAAATTCAAGGCAGCAATGTTGAACTCTGTTGATGTCTCAGCTGTTGCTGTGCGCTCACACTCTTTTGTATCTGCTGGGAATCGCTTCAGGCCCAAGGCCTGTTGATCCAGCATGTTGGCGCACGCAGTGTTGTACTTAACATTATATATATATATGAACTTACTGAACCATTTGTGGGACTAGAGACAGCAATTCACTGTTGGAAAACGAAACCGTACTCCTGGGTGGTCAGGTATATAGCTGACAGCATGACAGCATGACCTAATAACCTTCCCTGAAGCAACGACATACCATTCATATCATATACAGTGGCCCCAAAAAAGGCACAGAAAAGGTTAACTTACCACTACTTCAGGGGAAAAAATGCTTTTCCATCTTTTTGGGTGTTACTAACGTGTTCAAGAATAACCAAAAAACATGACAGAGGAACTTTCAAAGAAAATCCCAAACTTTTGAAACTATAAAGCGAAAGTATGCAAAAGTCTAAGTTGCTCCCGAAACTTCTTGCAGCAAAGCTTCGGGCTCTTTTGCTTCCGCTTTGGATAGGGTCGACATCGGCTTTCCATTCTTGGAACTTTTCGCAGCTTTGCCATCCTTGGCCTCCTTAGCCTCCCTTGCTACGATCTGTGCCACTGCACCTTCGTGTTTTCCAAGAGGCCTGGCGCTTTCGCTTTCCTGGGCTGGAAACGAGACCACTGGAAGCCCCAGTTTCTACAAGTTTCCATGAAAATACACTGGGTTGGCCCCATACAGGTAGAGGATTGTTAGGATTTTAGGAAAGTGGGGATCGTTCATCCCCGTACAGCGTCGGATGTGGCCCTCCGTCCGAATGCCTCACAGAGGCCTCACATACCTGAAAATGGAATAGGCAGGCAATGCTCACGTTTGCCTATTCTCTCTCTCTTCATTGTTTGAGGGAAATCCGCCGGCCTGCGGGCGCGTCTGATTGGAAGGTGTTGTTCTTGTTTCTGTTCTTGGTTTGTACTTGTTCCTTTGTTCTCTTGCTGCGCGTTTTTGCTTCGTCTGAATCAAGGTCACCCCCCCCTCTGTTTTTGTTTCGACCCAATACCTACGTGGGTACATGCATGAATATTGAGCACATTTATATGCGCCCTTCAAGGCTCAAGAGATATATACAGAGTAACCCTGTGGACACAACACGACTGGCAACACGCCGTGAGTAAAAGGGTGTGAAGCTGTCTTGGGAAGACGCTCTAGCTGATCTATACTAGACGCTAGTGCCCCTCTTCAAGTGGTAGCGGGGCTGTGATCCTTCATTGAAGGTGAGCTCCAGGTAAAGCCCGAAATGTCTCGCCATGGCTATGATGATGATGACTTCAACATTGTCGATGCAGATGGATGGAATCAATATGACTTCTATGCAATGAGAAGAGCACCTCAGCAGCCCTCAATCCATATGACGCAGCAGATGACCACGAAGGTAGCCCCTGCATATGATGGGAGAACCATGTTCTTTGCATTTGAAGATGCTATCGATGACTGGTGTGACATCACGGAGCTAGCTCTGCCTTCGTCTCTTCTTCTCTCACACGTCAACCTCCCTTGGGGCAATCTCTCTCCCCTGTCTCCTTCCATGCAGCGGTCTGCTGTCAAGACAGAGGCTCATAGATAGTACCTGGCGCTACTTTGCTGGGCTGGACTAATTTGGTATACGGTCAGTAGGTTGTTACAGCATGTTACAGCAAACCTTGCTACACAAGCCGCTTCCGTTTTACGACTTTGTCTTCGTCTTCCTTTCTTATTCTTCTTCTTATTATTATTCTTCTCCTTCTTTTCTCTTCTGCTCTCTCGCGGGCTTCCACCTAGAATGCACATCAAACTCCCTTGGGGCCACCTCTCTATGGCCGGCGGGCTTGCCGAAGGCAATTAAATATGAATATGTGGATTGCTTACGGTCCATGGTTGTTAAATTTCAGGGGAATGGGATTCCGCTTCTTCCCTGCTGTCGTGTAGGCAGGAGTTCCGGTTGGTGCACTGCTGGTGGTGGGGGATGGGACTACTCTGACCACCAATCGTCCACAACATGAGAAAATGCGAAAGTAGGCCGAATTGAGTTCCTTCATCTTGGCACATGAAGGCCTTTAGAACTTTAGATTGGCATCGGCCAATTCCGCACTAGATGCTTTCTTTTCTTGGCAGTTTTGAGAGAATTTGTGCGATGAAAAGACCTTGGCCAACCCAACAGTGCGATGCATGGTGTGCCCCCTTGGGGCACATTTCTCATGCAGGCCAACTGAATATTGACAGTATCACCCTCAAGAAACCTTCTGTAAAATAAGTGAACGCAACGGTCCAAGCTTCTCCTGAAACTTCTTGCAGCAAAGCTTCGGGCTCTTTTGATCCGGCTTTGGATGGGGTCAACAACGGCTTTCCATTCTTGGAACTCTTCGCAGCTTTGCCATCCTTGGCCTCCTTAGCCTCCCTTGCTACGATCTGTGCCACTGCACCTTTCTGTTTTCCAAGCGGCCTGCTTTCATCCTTCTGGCTCTCACTGCTTTCCTGGACGCAATGGCACGGCTACAATTGGCACACCAACTCTGGCAGCAGCGCCATCAGCCGCGCCTGGTCCGGAACTGCCGGCGCTTCGCCAGCCTTCAGCAGCGCGAGGGCGACTGGGCGTTGCAACCGTGTACATGTCTATAGCCAGTGTACCATCGCTGGTGATATTTGCAGGTTCCATCCCTGGTGATCTTCTATGGCTCTTGTCTTGCTTACAATATATCAACATCAACATGCATAAATCCAGTAAAATACGTTTGCTTTGGTGGCATCCGCGGATTTTCCCTGCTTATAATGCCTGCAACTAGATATGAAATACTGCACAGTGGGCCCCTCCATCTTATCTTGGCTGACCAGCTTTGTCAACGTCTAGCGAGTCTAGCTTCAATATGTTTCACTGCATGTTCTTCGGCATGAAGGGCTGGGAAGTGGATCATGCACAAGCACTTGAAATCATCTGTAGAAGCATCCGATTCTTTGGCACGACCCGTTCCATTTGAATGACGATGCAATAGACTGATTTAAGGGGAATGTGCAGTACCATGGTCTTTCCCCATCGAATAGGGGAGTTCCTACCAGAAAAGAAGAACTAAAAAAAACAAAACATCAGGGAGCGAAACTAAAACAAACCAATCCGTTAGAAAGTTCATGATAATGGGAAAAATCCTCAATTTTACAGCTGACTTAGAGTGAACTCTGGATCTTCCAGTGGCACATGTTTGATGATCCTCATGGTGACTGGCACTTGTGGCTTGGGGGAATTCTTGGAAGATCTTTCCAGGGCAAATCATCCAAACTACAGTGACTGATAGCAATCCATAGCGATCCATGATCCAAATAGTGATCCGATCCATGATCCAAAAGAAAAAACGTGGATAGAACGGCATATCTCTATCTATCTATCTATCTATCTGTCTATCTATCTATCTATCTATCGATCGATCGATCTATCTATCTATCTATCTATCTATCTATCTGTAAGTCTGTCTATCTGCCTGTCTGTCTGTCTATTATCTAGATCTAATATAATCTAATCTATATAATCTAATTTGTTTCAATCTATCGTACCTATTTATCTATCCTATATATTCTATCTGTCCTATCTACCTATCTGATCTATATAATCTATTCTATTTCTATCAATCTTATCAATCTTATCAAACTTATCTATCCTATCTATCCTATCTGTCCTATCTGCCCTGTCTATCCTATCTATCCTATCTATCTGATCTATCTGATCTATCTGATCTATCTGATCTACCTAATGTATCTAATCTATCTACTCTATTTAATCTATCTAATCTATCTAATCTATCTAATCCATCTAGTCTATCTATTTTTCTGTCTATCTGTCTGTCTATCTATCTATCTATCTATCTCTCCCTCTCTCTATCTATCTCTCTATCGATCTCTCTCTATATATCTCTCTCTCTCTCTCTATCTCTCTATCTGTCTATCTATCTAATCTAATCTAATCTATAACCTAACCTAACCTAACCTAACTTATCTATCTATCTATCTGTCTATCTATCTATCTTTCTTTCTATCTACCTATCTACCTATCTACCTATCTACCTATCTACCTATCTACCTATCTACCTATCTACCTATCTATCTATCTATCTATCTGTCTGTCTATCTATCTAGCTTTCTTTCTATCTATCTTTCTATCTATCTATCTATCTATCTAATATATGTATACATAAATATATATATATATATATGTACATATGCAAGTAACAATCATCAACCGTATCTGGGACATACTGGCGATGCTCTCACCATATTTCACCATCCCAGCCCTGACCACCTGCAACGGCCAGTGCCGTTGCTCTTCTGGACTCTTCTTGGCGAGCTCGGCCAGCGTCACCTAGGAGATAAGTTCAACACGCACCTACATAGATAGATATATATTTATATATCATAATGTATATGTATTTAATATAACATACATATGCGTCTAAATTTACGTGTGTAATTGTATCTTGTATAAAAAATGATGTGTGTATCTCTAGGTATGGATATACAATATCAAGATTAATTAGCAAGTGTACATCCACAGGTATGGGTGCAAGCAGTTGTTTGTATTTTGCGTGTATTTTGTGTATATATGACCACAGTTTGTTGAACAAACACAAAACAACGGGTTTTGCTGAATGCGGGCAGCAGCTCGCCACACCTTGGGTGATATGATGTGGGAAACTGCCATAAACAACCATGACTGGGGATGGTTTATTGTCAATTTATTGTACCACCCATGAAAATGTTGATTCTGGTGATGGTTTATGGCATTGGGTTTACCACATTGATGTGCAACGAAGATACGCGCTTAGTCTACCCTGCTGAGTCCTGCACTACTTGGGTTAAATTTTGTGGGGTAATCGAACCGCTGATGGGTCCAAACTGGTGACTGAGTGCCGCAACTTTCAAAACAACTGATGCAACCTACATGAACCTGGTACGTTTTCGTCTCTTTTCGCACCCGCTCAGGTTGGGTCGAAACGAGTGAGGCAGTACTGCTTCGCAGTTGGACATGGATATTCTTTGATTTCCATCGAGCTACCTGGAGCATTTGAGTAAGGGTCCGAAACCCCAAATGCTATTGTGAACATCCCTAATTATTCATGAAAAACCACAATCGGAATGCTCCCATCCTAGATATCTTGGGATGTTCACCCCGGGTGAGTTGTTTCACCAGGGTCTCCGCGCACATGCGCTCAGCATTCGTTGGTGCATATCATCATCTGCCAGATCTTGCAGCGGATCGCGCCCAGGGTACGCAGGGTACCTTCGAGTGCTGGACGAACCGCCTCAGAAGCAAAGCTGCGCCGCTGCGCCGAGCAGTAGGAGACATCAGGTCTGGTCCATTTCCAGCACAGGTTCAACAAATGCAGGGAAAAATTCACACGGCCCCCCCTCTATTCAGCTGGCAATCCAGCAAACTGCAAGCCTCTCCTTCCCTTCGAATTTCCGTAAAAGCATCACAAGTTGTCCGGATAATTCATCATCAAACATCATCAAACATCATCAATCACCATCAACAATCATCAAAAATCATCAAGCATGATCAAAAATATCAAAAATCATCAAGCAATCATGAAACAATCATCAACAATCATCAAAAATCATCAATCACCATCAACAATCATGAAACATCATCGACAATCATCGACAATCATCGACAATCATCGACAATCATCAAAAAAACATCAAAAATCACCAAACACATCAAACATCATCAATCATCAATCATCATCATCATCATCAAACATCATCATCATCATCATTCATCAATCATCAATCATCAATCATCAATCATCATCATCAGCAGCATCATCATCATCGTCATCGTCATCGTCATCGTCATCATCATCATCATCAATATCAATCATCAATATCAATCATCAATCATAAATCATGGTCAAACATCATCAAGCATCAATCATGATCAAACATCATCAAGCATCATCGTCTCTCCCCCTCTTCACTGCCTAAATTGATCTTCATCTCTTCGATCTGCGAGAGCTCTCGGTTGTCGTTATCGAAGGGCCGTGCAGAAGGCCTGTCTGAGCAGGATTCCTCCCTCCTCCGGGGATGAATTTTCAGGCAACCCCGCGAGGGTTGTGGGGGGAGAGAGAGAGAAAGAGAGAGAGAGAGAGAGATATGATATTCAATATACATATATATATATATATATATATAGATACACGCGCGCACACACGCACACACACACACACGTATATATATATATATATACACATGCTATACCTTGAGAATGACACATTCTGACCAGCCACCATACATCACCTCAAGAGCTTCAACAGCTTTTCGCTGGCCTGGACCTTTTCGCTGAAGGCTCCGATGGCTCTTTGGATCTTGGGTTTTTTTGTTGCTGGACCCGCTTGACCTTGGCTGATTGGATGGTTTCCCAGTGGATTCCCCTGAAGTTTTGGGTTAACCAATTCAATGTTCCCACCAGTTTCCCCCAAAAAAAATGGCGGTTTAACTGGGTCAAGCAAGAGGAAAATGAATGAACATGATACCTCATCTGCCGCAAATGAAGGTGACACTGGTGACCCTTCGGATCCAAGTCTTTCATACCACTCATCGCGGAACAGCAGTACGTCGGCCTTCACCTTGCCCTTTTCAAATTCCATCCAGCAGGCTCTCGCCAGAACCTGACCCCAACCCAGATCACCCAGCGCATGCCATGGTGAAATGAATGGGGAATGGTAAGGCAAGAATTTTATGGGATCCAGCCAACATCAGGGGGATAGGGGATCTGGTGGGTATCAATAAAACCAACTATGTGAATCGATTCATGAGATTTCATGATGGGTTTCTTGTCATCCATCCAGAATAGGATGATCATTGTGATCAAATGTCTGCCCGACCATCGTCAGGGTTTTCGAGAGAGTCTTTGCGTCACTTGCAGGTTGTCTTTATTTTGCATTTTGGAAGGATTGATTCCTCTCATGGCATGACCAAATGCAGGCGAAAGAAACAGTACAACATAGGACAACAAAACAAAACCATGCTACAGGATCATAGTAATCAGGAAATTCCTGGCTCTCAAACTCACATGGTTGAAAGGATTTGCACAATGATATGACTCGAAGGCTGGACGCATGCAGTGAATCTGGGCATTGATGCGATTCATGCATATTTGGAAGGGAATGGAAACAGCTTTGAAATTACACTCCAACGTACATTCAAAGACCATCTAGGTTTTGTCTTGGCTAAAAAGAACAAAATTGTTCTACGCATTTATATGTCTCCATCTGCACTCCGCCACCAAAGTGTCACATCCCCCTTTCAACATACGCAGAAGGGGTCAAAATTTATCCCAACTATTCCAACATTTGATATATTGGGATGGTTCTGGATGGTTCACAATATACCGGGTACTAGAAATGACCCCATCCATCCATCTGCGGAATCTTCAGTTTCGGCTTCAAGTCTGGCCCCACGCGCCACATCCCTGCCACCTAGGGACTTCGGCTGCCTCCTGGGAACCAGATTTATGTGTTGTCGTCTGAAAGTGAATGCCATGGTAAGAGAATGCCGCCCGTTCCGTGGATCTGTCAAACCTGCAATGACTGACAGTGATGCCCGAAAAGCAGAGCATGGCGACTCCGCTCGTTTCAATGGAATAAATACAATAATATAAAAACATGATGTAATATGATATAATATAATAACATGATATAAATTGGAGACATGTATATGAGGCACACTACAGTAATCTACGGTAGTACACCATATTATATATATATATTACTGTATAGTAAAATTATGTATATAACACATGTGTATATACATACGTATATATGTATGTAGATAATTTCTATTATGCATTTACAATTAGACAGAACACCTTAGAGTCGTTCGCCCACTTTGTGCCCTCAAACAACAATTCTACACAAATACATGAGCGAACTGAATGAACCTCGGCCTTGCCTTGGTAGCATCATGCTTTACTATAGGTGTTGGTTAGGAATGGCTACCGGATTGTATTCTATAATCAATTTTTTGGTTACATTATGTTCCAATAATATCGATATATATATATATATATATCCATTATATATCATTATTCATTATATAATGTCCAATTTTTCCCCATAGTCGTCCGAAAAAAAAAAAAAAACTGGATGTGTCCCCATCCGCCACCTCACGCGCTGATGCGCGAGATGGCCAGGTGGTGCGTCCGGCGGAAGTGGCATGGCACCGGGTGGCCCTTGATTTCGGGATATTTCGGGTGTCTCTGAAGATAGGGGATACCCGGATACCCATAAACTATGACAATTTCATAGGGAAAATCATGAAAATGATCATCAATCATCAAATTTAGGGGTCTATTTTTTGACTTAAATCCCATTAGATTTGTGATCTGAGCATCTGAGGGCCGTTCAGAAAGGCAACTTATAGTTGTTTGCAAACAACTCATCCCATGTTCAACAGTGGGGATTGGTTTTTTGGGGAGATTAGGAATGAGAATCATGTCCATAGGGGAAGTTTTGAGCCAATAGGGTTTTACTGTGCAATAAGGGGACGGATGGGCTGGAACTTCAAAACATCGAAGAAAACACCAAACAGTTGCATTGCTGTAGCTGCTGGTGATGGTTGCCACCTGCCATTATTTCCAAGTCCCAAAGGATGACCATCATTTTACTCCAAGACAATGCACATCGCACTGAGAAATCAAAGCTTCATCCTGAGGCCAGGTACATCATCTAAAGCACAGAGATGGTCCTTGGCAGGGCATCTTTAAGGCTGGTGTCGCCCAAAACTCCTTGGAAAAATGTACGGCAATCAGTAATTACCCGTAACTACCATACTATCCACCGATGATCTGAGATGATCTAAGCCAGTATACCTGAATCATCTGCACTGCAATACCTATTGTGGGTTTAAGATTCTTTAAGTTGTTCTTCTGCGACCCTCCAAACTGTACCCGGTGCTCTTTTGGTGAAACGCAACCATCACTCCCCGGCCATGCGCAGCCATCTGTGGCCGGCAGTGTGCTCTCAGGATGCTGTGAACATCTGCGAACATTGTCGGAGAGACCACTGAAACGCATGAAACGACCTACCGATACACGTCAGCGCTTCTTCTGCGTGCGACCAGGGCTAGCTTTCCGTTTCCTGCAGCGCATTATGATTGAAACCACCAACCGGTAATGATAATATCCTGATAGTTTGATCAATGTTTGACCCCTCTTTGCATGCTTGTTCGCAATGTTACCAGCAATTCACAACTCATCTGGAAAATCCAAATTTTAATGGTGAACATATTAGTGAACATATTAGTGAACATATTGCCGTCATACTTTAATATACCCTCTGGCAATTTAACATAGCTATACAAAATCACCAATTTTTATAGGTAAACCATGGTAAACCATCTATAAATGGGCCATTTTCCATAGCTATGTTAGCTTACCAGAGGGTATCATTCATAAATCGGATGAGTTTCACCAGTTCAGGAATCGCCTGCGCCCCGACGAGCTTCCATCACGCTCGCGGCTCCTGGGCGTCCGGGCTGCAAGATGATTCACATAAAATGTGTACATAAACATATGCACACACACACACATTTATATATATATATATACATACTGTACACATATAATTAATCACATATTTATATATGTATTATAAAAAAATAAAAAAATATATATACATATCTGTCCAATTATCGCAAGTATGATCTAATGTCATCTAATGTCAACTCTGGATGAATAAACCCTGGGTTGTTTGATGGACACCATTCTAGTAGCAAATTATCACTAATTGGGTGTCCCCCTGAATTAATCAAGCAGTTCATGAATAACAGGTTGACATTATAGAAACATAATTGACATAAGATACAACTAATTACACCACTTGGGTGTGTGATCTTATTCTATGCGTTATTCATGTGGGGTGATGCTTCTTCATCCAATTTCTGCCATCAAAGTGATAAGTAGGTATTGATCAAACCACCCATACTGTAATAACTATAATATATCAAGTATTCCATAGTGGTCTTCAAGATCTTCAAGTAAATGCTAGCATCAACCATCTGTCCTGCCCAGTGTTTTTTCCGCACGATTTTATGGCAGAAAAAAACCTCTTGAAAGCCCTCAGAATCAGGTGGTTTGAGGGGAAGGGACACCCACACAACAACCCGGTCCCTTTGTGGCTCCTCTTCCTGCGCTCCTTCAGACAAAACTGCCAGAACTCACGAGTGCAATTGAGACAACTATAAGACTATAAGCGACGAATATGGAGATTTTACCAGCAAAAAGGAGAAGCAATCAATCTATCTATATATGGAATTGTGAAAGATCACCTGCGCCACAGCGTACTTCAACACGACCAAATACATGTCTGTCCAAAATCTACCAGGCTGACATGGCTTGTCAGCAGCTCCTTTTCTACTTCCTTGGCTTTCGCTTTCTCCTTCTCCCGGTCCTTTTCCTTTTCCTTCTCCTTTGCTTTTTCTTTTCCCTTGTCTCTCTCCTTCTCTTTTGTCCTCTCCTTGTCTCTCTCCTTTTCTTTCTCCTTCTCTTTCTCTTTTTCTTTTTCCTTGTCCTTCTCCTTCTCCTTTTCCTTCTCTTTCTCCTTCTCCTTTTCCTTCTCTTTCTCTTTTTCCTTTTCTTTCTCTTTCTCTTTCTCCCTCTCCTTCTCCTTCTCCTTACCTTTCTCTTTCTCTTTGTCCTTCTCCTTTGCCTTCTCCTTGTCTCTCTCCTTGTCTTTCTCCTTGTCCCTCTCTTTGTCCTTCTCCTTTTCCTTCTCTTTCTCAGCCTCCTTCTCTAGGGTTTTGGACTTCACCTGGCACGTGGAAGTAGTGCTGAACAAGTCCCAACCCACCTGAACGCACATTTCAGAAAAATGGCATCGGTTGCACCGGGGAGCGTGGTTCTTGCAGGAACCTAATTACCAACTTCCATCTGGCAAAACTACAAACATGTTTGCCTTTCTGGTACAAACGCCTGTGCGTCTTGCAGCGATCGGAAGCACAAGAGCCTTGCCGTCTTTCGCATCTTTGGAAGTCTTTGCCTCCTTGTCTGTTTTCTCCTTCTCTTTCCCTGACTTGCCATCCTTTGCATTGAGCGAAGCTGAAGACTGCAAAAGGAGCTGCGGGTTGGAACAGCGGGAACCATTAGTTAGAGAAGCTATTGACGCTATATAGACAGGCCCACATCAAAAAAAGAAACTAATAAAGAGACTCCCTGACTCCCTTGCTTGGTTCTCCAATTACCAGCTGCTGGAATGTTAGCAATGAGTGGGTCGACTCAAAATGATTTCCTGAAAGTTGCATAGAGAGAGAGAGAGAGTGACAAACAAATAATATAGCAATGAGTCAAGGCCTACTCCGCCGACAGGGAATTGGCAATCCAAGCTGAATCAACATCCCCAAAAGTCAGTCCCATTTCTTGTTCTGTCTTGTTAATAAGCTCTTATATATTTGTTACAGTAATTTTGGTGGTTAGTAAACTCCACTATGGGTGTTGAATCCCCCCTTTGCCAGCGATCCCCCGCCTGCGGTGTCTTTGAAGTCGCTCGGCCCTCCTCACTGGCCACTTTGGCCGCTACCTCGGCGGAGTCCACATCAGCAAGGCGGTTACCAATGGATTGGTTTGCTTGGGATGGTTTTTACATGTTTCTACCATCAAAAAAAAGGATAAACCAATAAACACTGACTATAAAGATCCCCTTAAACCATCTTAAATCACGACTGACGCCATCACCATCCATGACCCACTGCCCGGCCTCTGATTTCTCGGAAATCACTTTCTTTGCCTCGCAGAGTGACGACAATTTTCTCGCAGTCACTGCTGTACATGAAACAAAACAGCAGTTTCAAAAAGGATCACCTCAAAACAATCTTCTCCATAATCTGCATTGTAATCAATTTTCATCACCTCTTGTGCTGCTTTTTGCATCAATCTTTTGAAGCACATCCCTGCCTCTTGTCGCTCTCCTGCCACAGAACCGGCAACAAGCTGAGCTATGGAATCCATGGCACATTTAATTGTGGATGATTTACCTCAAAGTGGTGTTTTTCCATAGCAACCCCCTAGTAACCTCCGGTAATGACTAACAGTTGGCAATGGAAAGTCACACGTGTAATATATAATAATATAATTTAGGACCTATCATAAATTATCGAAACGAACCATGGCTTCCGTAGCAAACTTAAGTTACCAGCCATGGCAATGATTTGAGCTACCATGTACCCTGCAAAAAAAAAAAAGTAATTTGTCTCTTTATCCCATTGACCGCCCCCCCAAAAAATATATATATATATACTAAAATGTATACATAATGCATACACACATATATATATATATGCATATATATATATACACATATATATTATATGTGTATGTATATATATATATATATATAATCCTGCCAAAAATGTTAAATACCACCTGTATATATGGGCCCAAATTAAATAAATCCAATACGTAATACATTCCATCAGAGTTTCGCTTGGGGGTGACTTCAATTGGATCAGGGTAAGGGGTACTTTAGATTCTCCACGATAATCTCCCCATTATCATAAATCCCCATTCTATCATGTGTTTGTTGATTTACCATATTTACCAATGTTTTACCCCCCCATTTTTGTTGGTTACCCTCCGGTAACTGACACATGGTTTGGTGGAAAATCCACAATGTTTGTGTTTTCTGCAGCATAAACCACCACTGACGATTGATTTTCCAGCCGCGTTTGCTGAGGGTAAATCCCTACAGGGTGGCGCACCCCCCAAGTTATATTCGTTGGTTTATTACCCCCAGAATGGTATAGATATATGGAGGTTTCCCTAAATGGAAGTACCCCGAAATCATCCATTTTAATAGGATTTTCCATTATGAACCATCCAATACCAGGCAGCTATTGGGGAACCCCCCTTTTTGGAAACTTTCATAATTATCTACTAGAAATAAACCCAGGTTATTGTACATTTTTTGCACCAACTTCGCGAACGAACTGGGGCACCACAGGAAGGTGTATTCTGAGGGACTTCACCAAGGTCAACGTCCAGTTTTCCACGCCTCCAAATTCGCTCTCGGCGGCTTGCTTCAGACGCTGCTCGCTGAAGGACTCCTGGTCCCAGATCCCAGATGTTTGGCACAGGTCATGAAAACACATGGAAACTCTATAAATCTTAAATAATCAAAATTTATGCATTATAAGTGGTGAAAAATAACAAAATTGCAATGCTAGGTTTTGGAATCGCATGTTCGGGGGTCCTTGTTGCATTTTGGTCGAGCAACATCCACCTAGGCATTTGATTAAGGGGTCTTTCATATGTGCCCTAGCCAAGTTACCTGGTATATGGTTTATGGGTACTTATGGTCATCGCATCATTTTGGGGAATTCCAAGCATGATGGGCATATTCACCCCTATTAATGGATCGACGATGAGCCCACGATCATAAAATGGGTTAATCATCGTTAATCTAATCCAACCATTGGTTTTAGTTGGTTATATACCCCATGAAATCCCAACGTGTATCCCATAAAATCCCAATCTTTAATCAATAAGCAATCAACCATCACCAACTAATTCCATCTAACTCATACCTTTTGCTCTAAAACGTCACCATAAATTGGGGACTCAGCAGGATGTGCGGGCCCCACGACTTGGATCCGTGGCTTAAAATCCACATGTATATATATATAATTAAATAAGATATATTTTTTAATCTTTATATAATACATGTGTGTATATATAACTTTATAACATATATAATGTATATGTATAATTAAATAAATAGATATATGTATATAACCATATATAACCAACATTTCATCCCATAAGTGGGGATATATTCCTTATGTCAGGGATTGTTGATGGTCCTGGTGGGCCGCAGCCTCCAGAAGTTCCATCCGCTTGCGGTCACACTTCATCTGCAGGACCTGGTGGGTTGAGGAGATGGAACTCATCTAATGGATATATGATATATGGATAATATTCTAATATTAGATGTATATGGATAAATATCTGATCGAAGGAAGTTTAGAAGTCAAACTTCTGACAATATGGACAGATGAAAAGCAGAGGTGGGAAGAGTCAGAGAAGAGAAGAAAAGAAGAAAGAAGATCGGAGAAGAGAAAGAGTCAGAAAACAGAAGATGCAGGCGCACGAAAAGGTAGCAAAGTCGCGAAACACTGCGTTTTTCAAATGGTTCGTGGCTCCGGAGGGTCGATCCGAAAAGTAGGCTCGCTAAAGCGGCGGGTGCGGAGCCATGTGGTCAGATGAGAGATGAAAAGTTGCACGCCGTTGTGGCGCGAAGCACATTTCCAAGTCAAAATGTTAAAAACACCACATGCTCGGACCACGATTGAAGGTTCAGATGTGGTTTTGCGTGGCAGGCGCAAGGGATTCTGCACCTTGCCAAACGTGAGCAAAACTTGAAGGTTTTGCAGCATTTCCAAAAACGATGGCAGGCGTGGGGCATTTGAAGAGGATCTGCAAAAATACATTTCGCGTGGCAGGTGCAATACAAGAGACTTTTATCAGAGATGTTAGGAGGTCAGGGCGCTGATTTCCTCAGAAGGGTTGCATTTTGCAGCATCAGATCTTCAGTTTTGGGAAGATGATTTTGCGTGGCAGGTGCAGCACTTCGTATGACCTGGCATCACTTTTTCGTTGCAGGCGCAGTACTTTAGACAGATGGAGTGGAAAAATCGCAAAACGCATTGGTACGAGGCCGTCAGCTCTGCACTCAACTTTCTATTTTTGAAGGAAGTCTCGCAGAACTGCTTCGTTTTTGATGTTGTTAGTTCGAAAAATTGAGGACGTCTCTCAGCAGAGCTTCGTTTTCAAGCTTGCAGATAGACAGATGGATAGATAAACAGGTGCAACTACAACTAACTACACTACAACTACAAAGGCAAATGTACCCTGCTACATTACACTACACTAGTAATTACACTTCGCTACGCTAATTAGACTACACTACAATAATTGCAGTAGACTACACTAATTACACTACAACTGCAGCAATAACTACTACTACCACTACAGCTGCAACTACACTACATTACACTGCATTACACTACTCCACAACTACAATTACAGCTACACTACATTACAAAACACAACGCTACACTAATTACATTACTTTGCGCTACAACTACAACTACAGCTGCAACTACACTACATTATATACACTACATCCAGCAGACCACTGCAACCATTGCAACCACTCCCCCCCAAAAAAATACAACTCCAACCACCTTTCGGTCCATCAGCGGATTCGCTCTGCCATCCATGCATCACAACAACTCACCTCTCCTATAGTATCCTATCTTTGAAACTTCCGCCACCGCCTTGTGCGGTACTACTGGTATATGGATATGAAAAACTACTGAACATATGGATATGTTTTATATTAACTATAATATTGGATATTCTGCATATTGTAACTAATCTAACAATGAAGATTCATGTACATTGTCTTGCGCTAGATTTGATTCGAATATTAATTGGTATTATCTACCGAAATCTAGATATTATCTTGTAATCCTATATATATAATGTAAGATATTGTCAAATGTTGTCAAGTTATGTCTCGTTACTTAGGCATGGTGTGATGGTTATCTCATCTGGCAAGTGAATTATTGGCTATCCATATCTACTTGGACAATGCAATGATGAAGCAAATATAAACAAATATCTTATCTAAATTTATCTGATATATATGATTTACTACCTCTAGTATCTGAATAAAAACGCATATCCAATGTAACTGTATATGTCAACTGGCAGCCAAGTATGCAATTATGAACTGACAACCAAGTCTCTTCAAATAATTTACCATGTCTAATCATTTGTACTATAATGGTACTATACCCGAAAAATATGGTTGTATAACTTCTGATAGATGCGAAACCCTGTCCTCGAAAAGAACATGTGACAAAGAAACACCGCAATGGAAAAAAAAAGTAATCCTTGTTAACAAGAACATTGTCCTTGAAAACATGGTGGATTTGATATTATCCATATTATCCCATCCCCTAATATTAACCCAACATAAATCATTTACACTTATCTAAGTTGTCTAATTATTTGGGATTATGGGATGGTGGCTTGGAAAATTCATTGGGGGGATGAGATGATTGTTACAGTAGCTCATGATAACTCATCAAACCAGCAGGGTAAACCGAGCATGCAACGTAAACATGTTATCCAAGGACCTTTATCCAAGCAATAACTATTATCAAATCGGATGCCAAATAAATCAACAACAACAAAAAACAACAACAACAACAACAACAACAACACACCAATAGGCCATCCCCATACAGTCTTAATTTTAACATTCGGTCTGCCCTATGGCATGATATAAAATGACCCCCAAATTCTGTCCTCGCTCCTGGGATGGGGACAACCACCGATCCATTCGGTGGGTTGGTCTGAAAATTGGGTGTATCTCCCAAAAACAAAGGCCAGAACCATTGGGAAAATGATGGAAAATGATACAGCCAACCATGAAATCTGATGAAATCTGGTGGCTTTCCCCTATTTCTTCAGTGACAAACCCAGGTTACTTCCAGGACCAAAATCGCCTCAGGCTGCTCGCGAGCTTTCTCCAGTTGCTGCCGATATCGCTCCACTTCTGCCTGGCCGATATCGGGTCTCTCCGCACTTTGGGCTGGGCAAACGGCTGTCCAAGTGGGATCTCAATAGGGTCCAACCATTTAAGGTTTGGTAAATGCATGTAACTGTTATGCAAATTTGATCAACTTTGTGTTCCGAAACCATCCAAATTTGAGTCTTCATGGAATCAGCCCGGCACATCAGCACGTATCAGCACCTTTTCCATCCACTAATCTGAAACAGCTGCAGCTGCGGCTCGCATTCTTGGAGCATGCATAGGAGACACCTCCTTCCAGGAATTCATTACAGGATCAAAGCACTCCTTGGAGGCGCTGCCAGAAATCACCACTGGGGAAACGAAAATCTTAGATGGTTTTAGCATGTTTTAGCCAAATTTTAGCCATTCAAGACTTGGGGGTTCCCCTCATTTTTCCTGAAAACGCGGAAACAAAAACATCTGAGAACAGACATCATCAGACAGGAGGAACCTGCCAATTCCATCCGCCAAGTTTCCACCGAGTCAAGTTGCCCACGGTCCTCGAGCGATGCGATAACTCTTTGTGATTTACCTTTCATGATGGCTATAGCACATATATGGATTTGTCAACTATACAGTACCCCAAAAACAAATGTTTAGAATTTAGACGTTTCCCTAGTAGCACAGCCATATGTGCTGGGTTCAGCCCGATTCTTGGACATCCCACATAGACACATGTCATACTGTTGGTTGTATCTCCCCTTATATGCCTATTGTGCTTGATATCATCATGTCTTATAGAACCACTATTATACATTAAATAATTATATACAGTATATATATATATATTACTATATATCATGTTATAGAAAATGTCATATTTTTGACTGCATATCTTTTATATCCTATTACATCCCATTACAATCATTCTATCATTCAAAGTATTTGCGTATTTGCCATCTTATTAAATATGCTCATTATGGTTGGTGCTGTATTCCACTAATTATGTCCATTCTGTAGCCTGATATCCCAATGTTTGCCCATTCTGCTTGGTTTTACATCCCTTTGCGTCGGTTCATCCAAGCCCATCTTTGCACCACAAAATGCCATCAAGCTGCATCAGCCCCGCCACAAACGTAGAGTTTGCCAGCGACTGCCGCCGCGGCAGAGGCAAAGCGCTGATGAAGCATGGCCTGAGAGTCAAAGGTGCGAAAACGTGCCAAAAGAAGAGTGTCATTATCCCAAATCAATGGTTTCAACCATTGCATATGTGGGGATCAACCCTTAACTTAATTTATTGCTAGCTCAAGAGTTTTGAAAGGGAACACGGTGACTTAGATGGATTTACTTTGTCTTTTGTTGGTGGGTTTAAACATTATATCGGATAAAACAAATAATTGTTATCATAAGCCGCCGTCAAAATCAATTGTTCAGCGGATTCAGATCTCTAAACTGCTGGGAATGGGTTAAGGGGCGCTCGTTGTCTTTGCGTTTGCAACCATGTTGGGGAGTTACCTAAGCACATTCCTAGACTCTTTCAATGGTTCCCAACGGTTATAAGATCACTAATCTATGAAAACGAAAAAGGGTCATCTCGCAATCGCAATTGTCCCTCTTTGATATAAGCCATGGCGTCAGAAAACGCCACACTTCCCCGCTCAAAAGCTCTAGAAATTGAAGATGGGACCTCATAGTTCCAATAAAGAAGCGTTCGTAGCTATGAAGAAGTGCTTAAGGCTTCCCAAGTCTCAAAACAACTCGATGGCCTAGGGTTGAGAACCTGTTCACTTTTTTGTTGAGTTCTTCTTGTTGGGATCAAATGAGTCTATCTCTCGTCCGGGGTTCCTTTTTCAGCAAAAGGGTATCGCTAGGTTATCGCTAAGGTTATCGCTAAATTAGAACACCTTGATTATCAAGAAAGGAAAAGAAAAAGGAACGCGGAACAAAAAGGACAATTGAAAAAAATACTTCACTTCGAATGATCCCCACCATGGCATTTATATAGTGACGGACATGTACTTAGAACTTGATTTTTTCCAAAATTTCGAAACCTCCTCTTAGAACATCAAAATTACCATACTTAGAACATCAGAAATGTTTCTAAGTACGCACTTAGAACATCAGAAAAACAGATACTTAGAACATCTCCATTTTTTTGCATACTTAGAACATTAAAACACACATATACTTAGAACATGTCCTGTTACTTTGGTAAATCTGCATATATACACACAAATACCTTGGTGAACAGCATACTTAGAACACTTTCTCCCCTCACTGCTGCAGCATTCTATACCTTTTCTTCGGGAACAATATCCCAAGCAGTCTTCGCTGCAATGGGAAGGTCTCTAGTAATTTGTGGGTTTCCTACAGGGGGTAGTCAAAAAGCATAGGTTTCAATACTAAAATGAGCTAGAATGAATTAATGTATTATGTATAATTTTGAATGTAGCGACGGACAAATACTTCGAACATACATATATGTATGGTTCCCATTGGTTCCCCACTGGGATGTTCTAAGTATAGCTTGGAAATGTTCTAAGTATAGGTTTTGGGTATGTTCTAACTACTTTTTTTGAAACCCATACTTAGAACATCCCCTCTGTGACGATTTTCAGATTTTTTTCCAAATGATGTTCTAAGTAGTTGTCCGTCACTATACATTTTCTTACTGGCAAATCTTCTGGCAATCTATCTGACATATCTTCTGGCATTCTATCTGGCATTCTATCTGGCATATCTTCTGGCATATGTTCTGGCATATCTTCTGGCATATCTTTTGGCATTCTATCTTGCAAATCTTCTGGCATTCTATCTGACATATCTTCTGGCATTCTATCTGGCATATCTTCTGGCATTCTATCTGGCATATCTTCTGGCATTCTATCTGGCCGTTGAGGTCCGGCAGTGCCCACTGCGATCTGGAAGTCGCGGTTGAGGTCCGGCAGTGCCCACTGCGATCTGGAAGTCGCGGTTGAGGTCCGGCAGTGCCCACTGCGATCTGGAAGTCGCGGTTGAGGTCCGGCAGTGCCCACTGCGATCTGGAAGTCGCGGTGGAGGTCCGGCAGTGCCCACTGGGATCTGGCGCTCGCGGTGGAGGTCCGGCTGTGCCCACTGGGATCTGGACTGCGAGGAGGAGGACGAGGAGGAGATGGAGGAGAAGGCGGAGGAGGAGGAGAACAGCTCTGATAAAATCTAACAACCCTCACCTGGCAGGTGGGGAATGAAGGAAAAAGGAAGGAAAGAACGAGAAAAGGAAAGGAAGGAAGAAGAAAGGACAAATCAATCAAAAGGGAAATACAATAAAATAGATGAAATGCAGAATTGGACTCAAAATCAATTTTGATTTACTTCAGAATTCCAAAGGAAATAAAAGGAAAATGGAAGGAAAAACAAAGAAAAGGAAACAAAGGAATACACAAATCAAATCAAAATAAAGCACATAAACTGATTTTAGAATTAGATTTAAAACTATGTTTGTATTTAATTCAGAATTCGCTTGCATTTAGTTGAGTTTACTTCTACTGCGTTGGGACCTGGGAGAAAAAAACAACTGCCTGCAGAAAGCAATGGTTCAATCACCTTGGACAACAAATGGTATGGCAACTGCAAGAAACGTGGGCACTGCAGGTTGAATTTTCTTCATCAATTTTGCACATCGCGTGAAGGCACACAACAATATTTGGTTTACACCAAGTTTAATGCACTCTCATATGGCTACAGTTATCGCGTTTTGGGGGGGCCCTATCGCTTTAACTACATGGTTTGGTGCACTTTCTCAACACAACTGGACCCTCCCCTACTAAAGTAATCTACGCTTATTTTGACCGCATCTCATATACAAAACCAACTAAGTCAACTTCTAAGTCCACTTTGTGTCTGTCTGAGAATGTAACCTCCCAATGGCCCTTTTAAGATCTTTTAAGAGGGAACATGGTGATAAACTAGTGGACAGAATGCGATATATGTCTTTGCCCGAAGTTCTGCGGGATTTACCTCCACTTTATGGCCCTGAAACAATGATACAGTTTTAAGACAGTCTGGATGATTTCAGCATGCCACACCCAGGTCAAGAAGCAATGGAATAAAACTTGACATGTTTGGTTGACGAGAAGATAGATATAGAAAGATCTTCGCAGAAACGTCCGAAACCACAGCCATCATTATATATCCCATTTTATCCCCATTCATATTCCATTAGTACCCTCTGGTAAACTAACATAACTATGGAAAATCACCATTTTTAATGGGAAAACTCACTATAAATGGCCATTTTCAATAGCTATGTTAGTTTACCAGAGGGTATCCCCCATCAAGGTGATATATTCCCATGATATTGGTGGCACCTGATCACTGCTCCGCGCCAAGTCATCCAAGTCCAAGTTGCAGGCACCATGTGCCAGAAACCCGTCGCAGGGTCGTAACGCTCCTTGGCGTTATGCTTGGGTGGTTGTTGAGTCGCTTGAGCCTACAGGATGTGACAAAAAACTGCAGCAAACTGCTGTTTTTTTTTGGTGGTATACCACTATGGATACCAATGGACAATTGCATATTGGCTATGCATATGTAGCCGACAAACAGAGGGATGGGGCATTTCTGATCGGATCGCAGACCCAGAACATCAGCCCGTCCATCTCAGGTGACCCATAGAATAAGCCATATCTCAATAGCCATCCTGAAACATGCAACAAGCACGTCTATCTGTAGCCTTGCAAAAAATTAACCAAGAGGCTACAGAGCGTAAGGGACGGACGCCATCTGATCCACCACAAACCTCAGGGATTCTTCAGGCCATGTTTCACTAGCGCCCCCTATGTTTTGGAAATGTGGGCCCCGAAGCTCACAGAATTTGGCCCCAAGGGTCCAAATTGTCAAGCCAATGGATCCAATTGGTTCGAATCTGTACGTTAAAAGATGTTGTTCAAGATCTTAAAAGTATCTTTATCTGAAAAACCTATATCCATTTTGTCCATTGGCACAGCCCAATGATCCCAATGGTCATCCCAATAGACTGATCACCACTGAGAACCCCCGCATAGATCTGTCCATGCAAGGCTGCAGAAGCGGCTCCGGAGCGTCGTTCGAACATGGGAGGAAGCGCCTGATAAAGGGCCAGGAAGCGCGAACGGAACGAGGCTGGAGAACAACCAAAAGCGTTTTTTGTTCGCCCGTTAAAACGAGCACTAGACCAAGTATATATGAGATTAACGTTTTTATAAGTTGATATTATGATTATATAATTATATGATATTAGTATTCGTTCATTTAATTAAGTTTATACAAAGCATTTTTAAAGAAATAATAATATAATGTGACCCAATGCCACAAACCATCTCCAAGATCATCATAAATTGATTTGTATAAACCATCATGAAGTGGTTTACTTATTTGATTTAGTCCCCGCAACTATTGATTGGGCACACTTGGGGGCTGCACCTCAGGGATTTTTGCTGATCTTTGCGGAACATCATGATGGAATTGAAAAAGCACCAACGTTGTCTTAACTTAATCAAAAAGGAATATGCTAGACAATGCTAGATTCTAGATATTCTATTGACAAAAGCAATTCTAGTGAATCTATCCTGACTAGAAAGTGAAATTCTGCAAAAAAAAAACAGCGTTTTTCTATTCGCTGTCCTCCCAAATTTGCTCATCGACGTTGAAGCGTTCCACAGAGTTCAAAGGTTGGAACTGGAGGCCTCAGATTAGTCAACAAGGCTGGAGCAGCATGCAGAATAACAGAGACATTAGGCAGGTTAAACCTTCACAACTCTTCAAAATGTGATAGAAATAGATAGATTTTTTTTTTATTTAGAGAATCAATCGCTCGGGATCTCTCATTAGGTCATCCCAATTGGTAGGTGACTCCCACCAAACCATTCAAAGTGACCAGCGGTTACCGGTTTCTGCGTGGTTTCTGCGGTCCTATGGTCGAAGCCCGGCCATGGTGGCTTTGAACTGCCAGGAACAGGATTCACTCGATTTGGTAATCCCAAGATCATACTTATCAGACCATAGCACCCCTTTGGGATCCGAGTTGCCATCGCCACCACATATGTACCTCAGCGAGGTACGTGGAGAAAAAAAACAAAGCTTTGGGAAACGAATCGTGAGTTACCATGATTTGCGATTTTTGTTGCACATTCATTACGCAGATATAGACCATGATTTCATTATTTACCTATATTATCCTATATTTACCTCTTGAATCCTCTTGAAATCTATGAAATGCGTCTTCTCCGCCGATCCGTTGAACCACCTGCAGCCATGGTGCAGGTTTCTTCCAAGGGAAGCTGCTGCAGGACTGTCACGAGGCTCCAACATCATTGGCTGAGCCTGATCCGGAATCCTCTCCCAAGACTCTTGGTGGGTGACGTCTGAAATGTCATGTTTTTTTTTTAAATATTTGGATGGATAGATAGGTAGATAGACAAATAGATGTTGTACATATGTCTGGGCAGATTAGAATAGTTCAGGCCTGAAATAAGGCAATTTTGGGATGATTCCCTTAGAAACCATGATTCCAGGGTTCGGGAGAACATTGAGGTCGTTATAATTTACCCAGATATGTAGGTGCTGGCCCCTTATATCATCAGAATCCCCAGCTCTTGCTGTTACATGGCCTATATCTCTGTGTCTCCATTAAACAGCTAGACTTCTACTAGACTGCAGTATATACATTATATATGTCTGCATCCCTGTACGCTTATAACTGTATATATCATACAAGTAATGATTTATGTTATAGTTACCTATAATGTACAAATAATGTATTATATTATATTATGTTACCATAAATGTACGATTTTATTGTATATAGATAGATATAGATAGACTATGCATATTCCCCTGTTCCACCCCCCTGACGGCGCTGTTTGTTTGCGCCTCCCAAACCCCTTCACCATCCAAACGCAGCCGTTCCATGGACTGAAGCAGGGCGAAAATCTCGGTTTCCTCCACGGAGCGACCGCGGGTGATTCCAGGAACACTTGGGGCTGCAGTTGAGGTGATCTAAATGGGCATAGCTATGGGATTTTAACATATTTTAACCCTATGTTTGTTGGGATATAGGGCACCTATCATTAGTGGTTATATACTCATTTGGAACCTCAACTGCGCCCGCAAGCACTTGCTCACTAAATGGGTCACTAAACGAGTCTTTATTTAATTTATTTTGTAGGGGCCCTAGGAAAAGATTTGAAACGTGATTCCTAGTGATCCTGATGTTCATTGATGACATTTCTATAAACCTGCCTTTGATCAGCACTTCCCAAGGGTGACCTGTGGCATCCAGTGGCCAATGGGAACCGAGCAATTATGAGGTTTAGATCTTGGATGACATCCTTCAAAAACAAAAAGACATCTTCCATCGACAGTTTCATGGAGTTTCCGCGTCTTTTAAACATATTGTATCCTATACTAGTTACATCTAGTTACTAGTTTATAGTATAGACTAGTTTAGACGTGGGTTGGAGTACAACTGGATTTCATTGGCTTGCAATGTGATAGATCTCCGGTTGTCCCAGTGGGTGACTGAAGACACTGACTTTACTAATGGTCCAATCTTTGGTAGTCCACATTTTTTTTTTTTTTGCTGGTTGGCTGGGTATTTTCCATCCATTTATAGCAAAAAAAAAAACTCAAGGATTAAACATGATTAAACTACCTATCCAAGGTTGGGGATGGTTGGGGATGTTTATGTTCCAAACTCAATCTGACCGATTGCTGTTCGCAAGGCAAGAAGCTGCTACTCAGCTGCTTCTGTGTTACCTTTTAAGCATCATCGGGGACAAGGCAAGGACCCGACTACTGGCCAACTGATGCGACCCCAAGATTGCAAATTTACTGGGGAATCCTGACGCAAAACCGCTGGACTGGATGTTGGAGTGTGATATGTTTTGTGCAAACCCAAAGGTGCAGTCTTCAAAAGCCTCTGTCATTCTCTTATACATCCTTCTACTAGTTAATTAAGGACAGGATTCCCAGTTCGAGGATTATGATAAACCGAATGTGTAAAAGGCAAGTAAGGATAGTACAGTACAAGTATAACCACCACCCGCCCAAAAAAATCCACCAGCCACTGGGTGGGGTCCATCCCCCAGCCTTCTCCAGACCTCCGCAGACATAGAGACTTCCTCCCAGCGTCACTGCGGCGGGACGCTCTCTGCCCTGCAGCATCAGAGGCAATTCCTCCCAGCGCCCGAAGGGAGGCCTAGGAGGGTTGCTTTGCCCCAGTCTGTGGGAGAAAAACTCACTTGCAAGTAGGGTAAGGACTAATCCAGTTGATCCAGTTGTAATGTGTTGCACTCGGGGTTATAACCCATTTAACTAAGTGGAGGATAACACCCAAATATAAACACAAGTTGGGGAAAGCGGGATGTGGCACCACTTTAAACCGAGCAGGCAGCAGACCAGCAATGAAATTCGTTTCCTAAGGGTTGCCTTTGTATGTGCTGGATGGGGTCTCCCTGTTCCTCAGCGGCTGTTTCATTGCCCAGGAGCACATAACGCTCCGCTGTGGCAATCCCCATTTTGGAATTGGTGCCAAAGACGTAGAAATCACCTCTCGCAGGGGCATTTTTACAAAACTTCTGATGCCTGTTGGTCTTGTTGGTCTTGCATCAGGGGTTTACGTGGAGATATTATCCCCGCTTAGCATCAGAGTATCAACCAGCTAAGGCTAATCCAGGCCCAAAAACTGCCAATTTGGCCCAGGTGTTGGCCCTTTTCTTGGGCTAACGTTCCAGGCCCAAAAAAAAATAGCAAGTGGTTGATTGATAACTGTTTACCCTCCTGTAATCAAACATGGTCTGCTGGAAAATCCCCCATTTAGTTCAATGATTTTCCCATTTAAATGTCTTCCCAGCTAGCCATGATTGATTGACAAAGGGCGACTTCATAGGGTCCTCCCGGCACCATGCCTTCCAAAGATGCTGCAGCAGGCCCGGAGCGAACCTGTGGCTTTCCAGCCATGCACCCGAAAATGCTGGATTTCAGGGGTGCACAAAGCACACACATCCAGACTAAGTGACTAAGTGCACTATAATATATCCCCGTATGGTGCTGCGCTCAGACTGGGTCCATGGTTTTTATCGCAGCATGTGGGTTGAAAACCTTATGGTTTGACGTTTTGAGGCAGAGTTGAGAACCTTGACCCAACCGACCCCCTCAAAGTTGCCACACCACTAGCCCAGGCATTGTGCAAGGGGATGAAAACCTATGACCCTGAGGTTACAACATATAATCAGACTGAATTCTGGCAAAAGATGAAATCCTTTGCCCCTGAGGTTCAACATCTGATCATGCTGAAATCCAGGCACAAAATGAAACCCACAGTGTTCAAGGATCAAGGTTTGTACATGCAGCAATCAAATAGAAAATGCAAACCTAGAGCTGAGATTACACCATTAGTTTGGTTGAAACCTGTGACATTGAATGAAAACCTAGGGCCCAACGTACATACTACATCATCAGCCTACACACCCTTTTGGGATGAAAACTTGAAGCCCCAGGGTATCTACAGACTTAAATTCTGAACCACTGCCATGGGATGAAAACCTATTTCAAAAGAAGATCCAAGGTATGAAAATGGGATGAATTTTCGGGATGAATTGGTGTTTTTAGAGGGTCCAGCCTATGGGATTTATCCTTCAGCACCGGACAGGGATATAATATATATATATATTATATATATTGCACATACTGTACATGTGTTTGTGATTGTTTGTGCACGTATTCATGCGTGAATCTATGCATATACAATCATACACATACATGCAAACATATTGACAATACAAAAACAGCAGCTGCGTCTAATATAGTACAATATAGATATGATTTGTATCATTTTACTTGGCAAAAATTTGTTATTGAACATATAAATATATGGGGGTTGTCCTAAATTATTGTTCCCACAAAGGCCTCTTGGGCCGAGCTTGCGCCAACCTTGCGCGTTTCTTGCGCGACCACACTCCCGGATCACTTTCATCATTTCAGTTGTTTTTCATCATTATTCTCGTACTTGTTTTCGAATGTTAAATATTTAGTATTCACTTAGTATTTCGTACTGGGAAGTAGTTTGTGCAAGCTTTGTAGTACACAGTAGTACTGGGAAGTAGTTTGTGCAAGTTTTGTAGTACAAAGTAGTACTGGGAAGTGCTTTGTGCAAGCTTTGTAGTACAAAGTAGTACTGGGAAGTAGTTTGTGCAAGCTTTGTAGTACACAGTAGTACTGGGAAGTAGTTTGTGCAAGCCATGCAGTACAAAGTAGTACTGGGAAGTAGTTTGCGCAAGCTTTGTAGTGCAAAGTAGTACTGCGAAGTAGTTTGTGCAAGCTTTGTAGTACACAGTAGTACTGGGAAGTAGTTTGTGCAAGCTTTGTAGTACACAGTAGTACTGGGAAGTAGTTTGTGCAAGCTTTGTAGTACAAAGTAGTACTGGGAAGTGCTTTGTGCAAGCTTTGTAGTACACAGTAGTACTGGGAAGTGCTTTGTGCAAGCTTTGTAGTACACAGTAGTACTGGGAAGTGCTTTGTGCAAGCTTTGTAGTACACAGTAGTACTGGGAAGTGTTTTGTGCAAGCTTTGTAGTACACAGTAGTACTGGGAAGTAGTACTGGGAAGTAGCTCTGCACGTGTTGAACTTCTGTGGTTTCAGAGCGGTTTCAGAGTGGTTTCAGACCCCTTTGGGGGGTCTAGCTGACCTTGATGAAAAGAACAATTTACAGACAGAAAAGACTTGAACACAACATACAAGGAAATACATTTAAAGAGCAGAGCAGATAGATAGATAGATAGATAGATAGATAGATTAGATAGATAGATAGATAGACAGATAGATAGATAAATAGATAGATAGATAGATAGATAGATAGAGATAAAGCAGCCAACGCGGTCCGGAAGACATGCAGCAGCAGCCCGGAGATGGTGAGCAGGAAGGGGTTTCAGAGTGGTTTCAGACCTCTTTTGGGCTTGTTTTTTGGGTACCCCCAGCTTTGGGAGATGAAAAAAGAAAGAGAAAAGGTAGAGAAAGAGAGAGAGAGACAGAGAGAGGAAGAGGGAAAGAGAGAGAGAGAGAGATAGAGAGAGAGAGAGAGGAAGATGGAAGATGGAGACAAACAGAAGGCGAGAGAGAGAGAGAGAGACAGAGAGAGGAAGAGAAAGAGGAGAGAGAGAGAGCGTTGTAAATGGTGAGCAGCGGGGTGTTTCAGAGTGGTTTCAGACCTCTTTTTGTCCGGAGGCTACCTCAGCTTTGGAGAAAAAACAGGAAAAAACGGGAAAAGAAAGAAGAGAAGGGAGAAAGAGACAGAGAGAAAGAAGAAGTCTTGAGACGGTGAGCAGGAAGGTGTGTCGAACTGGTTTCAGACCTCTTTTGGGGCCGGTTATGGGGCTACCTAGTTCTTAAGACATCCAAAAGAAGGGGCTCAAAACAGATTGTACTTGAAACACATGCGGTCCGGAAAGACGTGCAACGGTCCGGAAAAGCAAGCACCCAAAACGTACTCTAATCGTAGCGATTGCGGTCCGGAAAGCCATGCAGCGGTCCGGAAAAGCGAGCACCCAAAACGCACTCTAATTGTAGAATTGTAGACATTGCGGTCCGGAAAGATGAGCAGCGGTCCGGAAAAGCAAGCGCTCAAAAAGTACTCTAATTGTAGACATTGCGGCACGGAAAGACATGCAGCTGTCCGGAAAAGCAAGCACCCAAAACGTACTCTAATTGTAGATATCGCGGTCCGGAAAGACCTGCAGCGGTCCGGAAAAGCAAGCACCCAAAACGCACTCTAATTGTAGTCATTGTGGTCCGGAAAGACCTGCAGCGGTCCGGAAAAGCAAGCACCAAAAAAGTACTCTAATTGTAGATATTGCGGTCCGGAAAGACCTGCAGCGGTCCGGAAAAGCAAGCACCCAAAACGTACTCTAATTGTAGACATTGTGCTCCGGAAATACCTGCAGCGGTCCGGAAAAGCAAGCACCCAAAACGTACTCTAATTGTAGACATTACGGTCCGGAAAGACATGCAGCGGTCCGGAAAAGCAAGCACCCAAAACGTAATCTAATTGTAGACATTACGGTCCGGAAAGACATGCAGCGGTCGGGAAAAGAGGATAGCACGAGAGACAGAGAGAGAGAGAGAGAGAGAGACAGAGAGAGGAAGAGGGAGAGGAGAGAGAGAGCGTTGTAAATGGTGAGCAGCGGGTGTTTCAGAGTGGTTTCAGACCTCTTTTTGTCCTTAGGCTAACTCAGCTTTGGAGAAAAAACAGGAAAGAACGGGAAAAGAAAGAAGAGAAGGGAGAAAGAGACAGAGACAAAGCAAGCACCCAAAACGTACTCTAAATTGTAGCCATTGGTCCGGAAAGACATGCAGCGGTCCGGAAAAGCAAGCACCCAAAACGTACTCTAATTGTAGCCATTGTGGTCCGGAAAGACATGCAGCGGTCCGGAAAAGCAAGCGCCCAAAACGTACTCTAATTGTAGACCGAAAGACGTGCAGCGGTCCGGAAAAGCAAGCACCCAAAACGTACTCTAATTGTAGCCATTGTGGTCCGGAAAGACCTGCAGCGGTCCGGAAAAGCAAGCACTCAAAAAGTACTCTAATTGTAGACATTGCGGCCCGGAAAGACATGCAGCTGTCCGGAAAAGCAAGCACCCAAAACGTACTCTAATTGTAGCCATTGTGGTCCGGAAAGACATGCAGCGGTCCGGAAAAGGAAGCCCCCAAAAAGTACTCTAATTGTAGCCATTGTGGTCCGGAAAGACCTGCAGCGGTCCGGAAAAGCAAGCACCCAAAAAGTACTCTAATGCAGCGGTCCGGAAAAGCAAGCACCCAAAACGTACTCTAAGAGTAGACATTACGGTCCGAAAGACATGCAGCGGTCCGGAAAAGCAAGCACCCAAAACGTACTCATTGTAGCCATTGTGGTCCGGAAAGACCTGCAGCGGTCCTGAAAAGCAAGCACCCAAAAAGTATTCTAATTGTAGACATTAGGACCGCTGCAGGTCTTTCCGGACCACAATGGCTACAATTAGAGTACGTTTTGGGTGCTTGCTTTGTCTCTCCTCTCTTTCTCCCTTCTCTTCTTTCTTTTCCCGTTCTTTCCTGTTTTTTCTCCCAAGCTGAGGTAGCCTAAGGACAAAAAGAGGTCTGAAACCACTCTGAAACACCCGCTGCTCACCATTTACAACGCTCTCTCTCTCCTCTCCCTCTTCCTCTCTCTGTCTCTCTGTCTCTCTGTCTCTCAGTCTCTCTCTCTCTCTCTCGCCTTCTGTTTGTCTCCATCTCTGTCTCGTGCTATCCTCTTTTCCCGACCGCTGCGTGTCTTTCCGGACCGTAATGTCTTAGGTGCTTGCTTTTCCGGACCGCTGCACGTCTTTCCGGACCGCGATATCTACAATTAGAGTACTTTTTGGGTGCTTGCTTTTCCGGACCGCTGCAGGTCTTTCCGGACCACAATGGCTACAATTAGAGTACGTTTTGGGTGCTTGCTTTTCCGGACCGCTGCATGTCTTTCCGGACCGTAATGTCTACAATAAGAGTACTTTTTGGGTGCTTGCTTTTCCGGACCGCTGCAGGTCTTTCCGGACCACAATGGCTACAATTAGAGTACGTTTTGGCGTGCGCTTGCTTTTCCGGACCGCTGCAGTCTTTCCGGACCACAATGCTACAATTAGAGTACGTTTTGGGTGCTTGCTTTTCCGGACCGCTGCATGTCTTTCCGGACCACAATGTCTACAATTAGAGTACGTTTTGGGTGCTTGCTTTTCCGGACCTCTGGACCGCGATATCTACAATTAGAGTACTTTTTGGGTGCTTGCTTTTCCGGACCGCTGCAGGTCTTTCCGGACCACAATGTCTACAATTAGAGTACGTTTTGGGTGCTTGCTTTTCCGGACCGCTGCAGGTCTTTCCGGACCACAGTGGCTACGATTAGAGTGCGTTTTGGGTGCTCGCTTTTCCTGACCGCTGCATGTCTTTCGGACCGTAATGTCTACAATTAGAGTACGTTTTGGATGCTTGCTTTTCCGGACCGCTGCATGTCTTTCCGGACCACAATGGCTACAATTAGAGTACGTTTTGGGTGCTTGCTTTTCGGGACCGCTGCATGTCTTTCCGGACCGCACTGCTTAAAATTAGAGTACGTTTTGGGTGCTTGCTGTTCCGGACCGCTGCATGTCTTTCCGGACCGTAATGTCTACAATTAGATTACGTTTTGGGTGCTTGCTTTTCCGGACGGCTGCATGTCTTTCCGGGCCGCAATGGCTACAATTAGAGTACGTTTTGCGTGCTTGCTTTTCCGGACCGCTGCTCATCTTTCCGGACCGCAATGTCTACAATTAGAGTGCGTTTTGGGTGCTCGCTTTTCCGGACCGCTGCATGCCTTTCCGGACCGCAATCGCTACGATTAGATTACGTTTTGGGTGCTTGCTTTTCCGGACCGTTGCACGTCTTTCCGGACCGCATGTGTTTCAAGTACAATCTGTTTTGAGTCCCTTCTTTTGGATGTCTTAAGAACTAGGTAGCCCCATAACCGGCCCCAAAAGAGGTCTGAAACCAGTTCGACACATCTTCCTGCTCACCGTCTCAAGACTTCTTCTTTCTCTCTGTCTCTTTCTCCCTTCTCTTCTTTCTTTTCCCGTTCTTTCCTGTTTTTCTCCAAAGCTGAGGTAGCCTACGGACAAAAAGAGGTCTGAAACCACTCTGAAACACCCCGCTGCTCACCATTTACAACGCTCTCTCTCTCCTCTCCCTCTTCCTCTCTCTGTCTCTCTCTCTCTCTCTCTCGCCTTCTGTTTGTCTCCATCTTCCATCTTTCTCTCTCTCTCTCTCTCTCTATCTCTCTCTCTCTCTCTCTTTCCCTCTTCCTCTCTCTGTCTCTCTCTCTCTCTCTCTCTTTCTCTACCTTTTCTCTTTCTTTTTTCATCTCCCAAAGCTGGGGGTACCCAAAAAACAAGCCCAAAAGAGGTCTGAAACCACTCTGAAACACCTTCCTGCTCACCATCTCCGGACTGCTGCTGCATGGCGTTGGCTGCTTTATCTCTATCTATCTATCTATCTATCTATCTATTTATCTATCTATCTGCTCCTTTTTCTTTGGATGGCCTATTTACCACCCTGGTTATCTATGTTTATCAACTCGAGATATTAATATTTAAGATCTAAATCAGATACGGTGGTAGTAGTAGTAGTAGTAGTAGTACTAGTAGTAGTAGTAGTAGTAGTAGTTGTTGTTGTTGTTGTAGTAGTAGTAGTAGTAATAGTAGTGGGAATGTAGTTGTAGTTGTAGTAGTAGCAGTAGTAGTAGTAGTAGTGGTAGTAGTGGTAGTAGTGGTAGTAGTGGTAGTAGTAGTAATAGTAGTAGTAATAGCAGTAGTAGTAGTAGGAGTAGTAGTAGTAGTACTAGTAGTAGTAGTAGTAGTAGGAGTAGTAGTAGTAGTAGTAGAAGTAGTAGTAGTAGTGGTAATAGTTGTAGTTGTAGTAGTAGTAGTAGTGGTAATGTAGTAGTAGTAGTAGTAGTAGCAGTAGGAGTAGTAGTAGTGGTAGTGGTAGTAGTAGTAGTAGAAGTAGTAGTAGTAGTAATAAAAATGTTAATTAAAAATAGTACTTGTAATAATGATAACAATAGTACTTGCGCGTACCTTGGGCCGCCCTTGCGCGAAACTTGCGCGATGCAGGTTTTAGACCATGGGAAAAATGCGAGAATAGGTCCTTTACTAAAAACCTTTCTGGGGTTTTTGGACGGCTCCCATATATATATAACCTTATAAATATATCCATACAAAGGATACTTTTACGTATCCGATTGCATCCCCATGAATCCCATGTCCTCCCATGTCTTGGGATGAGTAACCCCCTTTTTCGGCATGACATGGGATGACTACTATGGAAAATGGCCCATTTGTAGATGATCTACCCTCTGTAAAATCACCATTTCTAATATGTAAATCAACTATTTCGACTGGGCCATTTTCAATAGCAAGCTGTTAGTTTACTGTTAGTTTACTGGAGGGTATGATCATTTACTGATCATTTACTGATTGCAAATGGCCATGTTCAATCCATTTTCCACTTCGCTACGTTCAACCAGAGGCGTTGGCCTCCAGCATCATGGGAAGTTTCTCCCAGCTTTCTTCCAGAACGTCAAAGCGCTCCGCCGAACGGAGCTTCAGCGCTCCGCAGTAGCCGCCGCACACCTGGCGCCGGCGCGGTGCCAGCGGCGATGGGATCTCTTGAGATGTCCACATATCAATCTGAAATGTCTCTTTTGATGGATCTTGAGGATTCTTGATTAAAGGATATTATGGATATTCAAGGTCTTGCTATCTTTTGAAATTGATGTACCTTGATTTATGCTGATGTATTTAATGCATTTTGATGCATCTTGATGTGTCACCAAGTCATGTGATGAATGACCAACCCTCATGTCGCCCTGGTAAACGCCAAGGGGCATAGATTGATCCAGCACATTTTGTGCTGAGCAATGGTAAGGCCTGCCATCTGCCGCTGACTCTCAAGCCCCGGGCTATCAGGGCTATCATGGCCTATCCTTACTATGGGATTTAATGGTGACTTAAGAGGATGTAGTGGAGTTTAATGGGATTAACTATATTAACTAGGGAGTACGGAGTATGGTGACTTCAACTAGATTTACATGGATTTACCCTCCGGTAATTTGACATAACTGTGGAACATCACCATTTTGAATATAGATTAAATCGCCCACAAATGGACCATTCTTCAATAGTTACCGTTAAAAAAAACCGGGGGGCACAACACATGGGAGAAATTTATCCCTGGCTTCACCGCTGGGGGCTAGGAATCCACGTGGGACCTAGCAAAAAGATCTAAAATTCCCCATGTCCGGTAAGTAAATGATCTACTTTCACGACTTGTTTTTCACCATACGAGTATCATCAAGTTTGACCAAACCAAGGTCAAACAAAATGGATTACCTGATCGACCTGATCCTATGTTTTCATGTGTTTTCCACTTGATATCACTTGATCTCTGGTGACCAGCCAAAAGGCGAAGCAGCGGCGCCTCTCTGGTCCATTGAGCAGCGGCTGGAAAGGTGCCACGGAAGCGCCTCAAGGAACCTGCCAGTTGATGTGGAAAACCCATGGGGAAACCGGGAAACCCCGGGTTTTCAACATGATTTGCAAATGGTGGATGTTCATGGATGTTCCACATCGAACTGTAAACGTTTACCCCAGGGTAACTTGTAAGTGGTTTATATTGAGGTTTATATTAATTTGTTTTGCTTTTCCTCTCAGCCTAATCTGAAACAAACGAAAAGTATATCTACATATTTTAGGGGAACAGGTGTAGACCCCAAAGCATCCCAAAGGGGTTCGGAACGGCTTCCTGACCACCGGAAGGTTATGCTAAGCAAAGACAGAATTGGAATATCATTTTGGGGGAACACCAAACTCGTATTCTTATGTATTCTTGGGGTCTGGTTTTGAATGGGAATGTTGGAGGTTGGATTCTCCAACCTTTGAAGGTTCTAACCAGAGATTTACCAACAAAATCCAACCCTACATGGGGCCCATGCGATCCCAGCAGTGCGTAGAGCAACGCCATGCTACGCCAAGCAACTGGGTCCTGCAAAATGCGCCAGCAAACTTGCGACATCTTCGACATTGAACAGCTTCACAAACCTCAAACAACCGCATCCAACGGCCCAGGTCAATGTCTTTCCGACGATAAAGGTTCAACATGGTTCAAAAATAATAAACGATAAAGCATTCGCAAAGACTCACGAAACCCTTGCAACATATTACTGTAACATATTGTAACATATCTTCAGGAAATCATCTTTGGAGGTTTTCCATGATACCACTCGCCGAGGTGCCGCAAGTTTCCGGGTGCGGTCATGGCGCAGGAAAGGGGGCACAGGCATGAGGGCGCTCAGGCTTTTGCTTGAGGAATCTCATCCCCCAAAACTCAAATTTTCAGAAATGCTTCCCATTTCTTCCCATCATTCCCATCCTAGAATGAATTGATCCTGATCCAATATGAGAAGCCAGGGTTGCTAGGTTGATTTGATACCTGGGGGAAGGGATTATAGGGGAAAACTTTGGAATTGATGACACTATTAATCAATGCGTAGACTGCTGAGGAAGGAGGAAGAAAGGTAAGGACAGGAAAAGGATCCGTGCAACATTGATGAGTATCAGCTTCCCATGTTCACGGTGGCATTTTTACACTGCCTGTATCGATAAAGTGTTTCAGCTGCGCCAGTCAGGATGGAGTGGTGTGCCGCAGGACAATTGGGAACTTCCAGCCCACAGGATCTTCAAGGGACGGCTACACTATAGACACTCCGATGACTCAAAATAACAGTGGTTTTCAGAATCCAGATGTTCGATGATTTTTGGATCATTCAACTTCTTACCAGCCAAATATTAGCGGATTTCCTCGCAGCTTATTCCCTAGGCCCTTGATGCCAATGCCCTGGCGCCAATCTGTGGATTACAACATGAGCAGACTTGGCTGGGATATGTTGGTATGTCAATAACACCCCAATTTGGAGGGTGAAATCATGTTAATTTTGGGCATTGGCTTTGTTGATCCAAACGCCCCCAAGAAGATCCAACAAGACTTGATAGAATCAGACCCACATATTCCAAGGCTTCCACACAATTCTGGTCTCCATGTTCATTGTCCTATCAATTATATAATAGCGGCCAAATCAAGCAAACATATCAAATAGTAGCTATGATGTATACCAAATAGACCCGAACAGACCCCACCTATCAACATCTATCAACAAAAATCATGGAAAAAGAAAAGCGGAAAATCCCAATCCAACAAAATCCAACAAAGTCTGCACAGTCTGCACCTCGACTTGTCGCAGCCTTTCACGACGCAGCTCTTCAGCTGACTTCTCCTTGTTTTTGTGAGGGAAAATTCATGGAAAATTCCCCAGGAAGATCTGTGGAGCACCTATGGAAATCCACCATTTTTTGGGTTCCATAGAGGAGCTACCCTGTTTGTTTCAAGTGGTTGTGGCAAAATGGAATCACTTGTCAATCCTATTGTAGCATCTGTAGCATGTATCGGTTTATCCGAATAGGAGGCCACCAAACTAGAAGCTTCTGTCCACTATGTTGCTTCTTAGTGTTGTGGATGCCGTAGTTTCATCTCAAACTTGGCAGCCTTGGCAGATGTCCTGGTAGAAGTTATATACTTATATACCAATTGTGAAGGTATAAGTGGTATAAGCATGCATTTCAGTTATACAGTTATACAATATATATATATATATATATTATACCTTATATATATATATATGTAGTTATCCAATGTCCTACCACCTTGACCCATAAATATGATAATCAAGTATCGATAATTATGTTAATTGGATGTTTCCTAAAATGGCGGTACCCCCCAAATATCCCCAAATCATCCAAGTCAGTAAACTATTTTAATATTGAAAAATATGGTGACATCCCCCATTTCAAGAAACCCCCAATTATATGTGTGGCCGCCAGGTCTTCTGCAGGGTCTTCGGCAAAGACCTCTTCAAAGGTCCCCATCAAATCTTGTATCTGAATGCAGTGGGTCATAGTTACGTATAATTACTTATATATATTAGTAAGTCAATGGCTGAGAGGTAAATCATAAATCATCCCTTCCCCCGTTCATATATAGCTATTAAATTTTTGACACCCCCTAACGAAACCATGCTTTCGAGGGAATTTCCACATTCCATTGGGACCATCCAATGGGGGTGTTTGATATTAGGGGGATGGGATCATGCGCCCCACCCGGCTTTTTGTTGACGATGGTCTTAAGTGGGTCTTTCTGGTTTGTGTGAAACGGACTGTCCTTCAACGTGACTTGTCCCATGGCCGCTTCAAAAGGGGCGACGCCGAAATGTAGTAAGAAATGGATGGACATTTGTGCCTTGTGCTTCAGAACACCTGTACACAGTGGTCGGATGCCACATAAACTAGGCCCTGATCATCTGCAGCCATGGCAGTGGGCGACTGAAACCAAAAGCCAGCCGCCGAGTCAGGCTTGGTGGGCGAGCACCACAAGAAGTCGCCCTCGCGGCTGAAAATCTGGACACGATCGCTACCGCAGTCGGCCACAAAGAGTCGGTCGTGGCGGTCCACACACATCCCCATTGGACCTAGAAGGGAGCCTGGCTTCAGTGGATCAAAGTACGAAGCCGTCCAATCTTTGGGGATAAAGTGGTGGAACTGCCCATTTTCATTAAAGACCTGAATGCGATGGTTGTCTTTGTCACTGACCGCAATGTAGCCATCGTGAAAGGCGGCCACACATTCCGGAGACTCAAACTGCCCAGGCCCAAAGCCGCGACTTCCAAATTCAAAGAGCACCTGCCCGTTGAGGGTCAACACCAGACATCGATGGTTGCAACTGTCCGCCACCACCACTCGACCTAACGAGAAGGATGCCCCAAAGGGCCCGTAGAGTGTGTGCGGGGCAAGCTCCTGGGGGCTAAGGTCAGTTCAAGCCATTGCCAGGATCGTGAGTTTTGCTTCATCTGTGGCAGGATGGAAACTGAAAAGACATTTAAAAAGTCTGGTTACTTTGGACGAATAGGTCACATAACTCCTTCTAAAACATCAACACCTACCCCATGAATTGCAACTGTAGCAGAATCTCTCTCCATCAATTCCAATTCCAATACATTCCAAAGCCTTTCCGCACTCTATCCGCAGTCTTTCACTCCTGCGCAGAAGTGGCTGTGACAGAGGTCCCAGTCCCCAGGTGCAGTTTCAGAATTCGGTCCAGGTTGTACTCCACGACGATCAACGTGGTTCGTCCCTCGGCTTCGGCGCAGCACAAGCCGCTGGGGGCACTGAAACCAGTCACCTCACAATCCTCGTGCAGTCGTACAATGCCCAAAGGTTGTAAGGTGAGCTTGCCTGGTGGCCACAAATCCCAAAAACATTCAAAGTCGAGTGAAGTCGGGGATTCTTCCTCACACAAAAAAGAGATAAACAGCTCAGCATCCCGGTTGAATCAGACTATGATCTTAAAACAAATCCCTCAGAATGTGAATCAAAGGCTCATTTTTGCATAGAAAAGCAGGTTCAAAAGCCATTAAACATACGAGCATCTGGTAAAACAAATACAGTATATTAACTCTAATTCTATGTATAATTACTGGTATCATGTGAAAGTATACGCGCACACACACACACATATATATATATATTATATATTATATATGCATGATAAAGCATATGAAAACGTGAACTCTCCGTTCAACCAGTGTGCTGAAGACCTGAATCCTACAATTCAAGGCGTCCGCCACAAAGAGCCGACTGGAGTCGATGGCCATGCCACAGGGCGAGCGAAAACAGCCCAACTCATCACCTTCCAAACCCAGCACGGCGCGAACGGCACCCAGACCCTGTTCGCGGATCTCCTTATCACTGTACGCTTGGACGGTGGATCCTGGCGGTGATGGATTGATGGTTGGATTGATGGGGATTGATGGGGTGAAATGGACCGGTTTGAGAGTTTTAATGATTTGATTTTTTCTGGAATTATGCACCAACACTTCAAGAAACTATCAGAAACTCATAGCATGGGAAAATGTGATGATAAACCGTGATGATACATTTATATTAAATGATAAAGCATCAATTTTTGGAAGTTACCCTTTTTTCAACCCCACCCCGCGGAAGCGGCATTTTTATGTTGAAGTGGTTGTGGCAAGTAAAGGTTGACTGCACAAATCAACATGAATCAACCGAACATATCAAATCAAACTAAATATGATTTCAACATATTTCAACAAGAGTTTGATCGATCGAATCTTTGGTCGAAAGATTTTCGGTGTGTAGATGGGGAAAACCTGATGGAACATGACAGAACCAATTTTAGGACCTGTTCCTCCAAGCCGTTTGATTTGGAGCTTCGAGCTGGTACCAGGCGACACTTCTAGTGCATCAAAGATCGAGATGGGTTGCGGCTTTTGCGGTGCCTGTGGCTGTGGCATCTGTAGTCCCTTCCTCTTCATTACTGCATCGGCCAGAGCTAATTTTTTCACCTCACGCCGTTCGCGACACCTGGCAGGTGGATCCTTGTCTTCTTCGTTTCTTCCCACCTTTGGAGGAGAATCCTCCTGTTTCACTGCTCTTCGTTCCACCCGTTCGGGGGGTTCGAGCTCATCCTGCAGGTCTCGGGCCACATCCGAAGATGAATAAGCTGAACCTGGTTGAGCCGCCCCAAAAAAAACGCCAATCATGGAAACGATTGATTGAGATATCACAATTCACAAATCAATTCATATCATCCAATGGTGTTTGTAGTTTTGCCATCCCAAAAAAAAATCGAAAAAACATCCGAAGGCTCCGCCAAGCAGCCAGCCTCTTCCCCCTCTTTCTTCACCCAGGACACAGCCGCCGCGGCCGCCGTCATCGACACGGAGATGGCGTTGGCCGCTGCCGCCACGTCGCCGTACCAGGCCACTGGCGCCCGCTGCTCCGGGTGCACGGCGGAGGCCAGGGCCAGCTCTGCCACCTTCGAGGCCAGGACGTCGTCCCTCAGGAGCTGCTGGGCCGAGATGTAGCCCGTGAGCAGCAGCACTTCACAGTTGGTGCCACGGGCTAAGACCTGGCGCTGTTGGGTGAAAAACATGTAAAAGGATAGAAGAAATTAGAAGTAAAGGCAGTTCTGTAATTTACCAACTGGATGATCAGTATCTGTTTAGCTCAAGTATGCTTTTTTTTTCTCTCTCTCTCTCTCTCTCGCCCCCCATCGCCATCCCCAGGAGTCTAGCCAAAGGCCGTGTCGGCTGTGTGTGTGTGTTGTATTGATACTTTTGGTGAATTTCCTTATTCTTACCACTCCATCCGCGGCCTTCTCCAAAAAGTCGATGGCCCGCCATCGCGTCAACATGGTGGACGCCAACGACGCCCTGCGACGCTCATAGCTCTGCTGCTGCCGGGCACGGCAGGACTCGACTTCCTCCAGCATTTGGCCTCTCCTTTCATGCAAGGCATCCTTCACCTGTGCCTCAGGGGGAAAAGGGATCTCAAGGGCACTGGTGAAGTGATGTGAAGTGGTTGGATGCCAATAAAAAAACATAAAAAACTAGATAGACCTAGTGCTTTAACATCGAGGGCCAACCAACTGGATCCCAACTGCTAAGAAAGGAACATGAGTCATCCATGGTTGGATGATGTTGGATCACCTGAGTTGTTGGGCAGATGGATCGTTTTTCCACTATTGATCCATATTGATCCTCTACATGGGTCTAGATTCTAGATGGTGCCATCATTCTGGTTTGGGGCTTAGCTCGCCAACACCCAATCAATACTTAAAATCCCTTCCCAATGAGATGCTCCTCAATATCCATTGATGGTATATTTTCAAGTATCTAATCTACCCACAGGTGGGATCAGTTGGGCCATTTCGGGCACATGTGGGAGCAAATATTCCATAGATGAAGCATCTGGGACTGGTTCACGATATTTTTCGGCCCCTTCGAGGCCCTGCCGCGCCTCCATGTTTCGAATGTTTTGGGCGGATGAATGCAGCTCATCCTCAAATGCCTATCGCTTAGGATCAACATCCCCTTTTTTGGGGAAGACGAAGAGAAACAACTGAAACCAGAGGCCACTTGTATTGCTTGATTCTATCTCCACTTTTGATGGTTCTATATCCCCATTTAACACCAATTTCACACCATTTAGTGATTTTAACACTGATTACATCAAAATATACCAGTCACCTGGGGAAAATACAGACTTTTAACTTTCAAAGCGCCAAGTGCTGTGTCTCAAAATGGGGAACATGGCAACCCGCAGCAATGTCAATGATAGAATGATGATTCACCAGTGTTGGGAGTTTACACCGAAATGTTCCATATTCATCCATATTCACTACACTACAACATACTACAACCACATGAATCATGTGGGTAAATAACACTAATTAATCTAAATACCCTCCGGTACTCAAATGTGGCACTGGAAAATCATCCGTTTATAGATGATTTTTGACATTAAAACATACTAAAACCTCCATTTCATATTATCGTTCGGGGATTTCGCAGCCAGCCCCGTTGCCCCGCGAGTCTGAGTTGTTTCCATCACTTTTCGCCATCCACATCCGCCTTGATGTTGTTGGTCAGCAGCTGATGTCTCTCCTGCAGTTTGGAGCCCAAAGTTATCAGCTGTTGGAGCTGGTCCTGTAGCAACTTGCGCTGCTTGTCCACCAGACCGCGGGAGGGGATCTTGTAGATGTGAGTTTCCTGGCGAAAACCCAGAAAATTATAGAAATTTGACCCACGTCACCTGGGGCCTTTATGGGGACCATGGGGAACTTGACGTATATTTCTGCGATGAAATCAATGATATCATTCACCACGGATTAATCGAAGGGGGAAATCTGAAGAACACATGTTTTCTTTCTGTTTCCCTCGAGCCACTCATCTCTTGCCCCATCTTGCCCCCCAAAAAAAGGGATTCATTATGAACTATGAAGGTCAAAATTGGAATAATACATATAGACCATATGGATGCATAAATGTCTCAGAGTCAAGTTGAATTCATGTTGATTTGTCCGGACGTTTATTATCCCAAAAACGATCACGAAAGGGATGAGAACACAACTTAGACTTAGACAACACAACATGTTTGAAACAACGAAGCGAGTTTCGTGTTCTGCTGTGATACAGTCACGGCAGCACATCACATTGCAACTCTCACAAAAGAATTCCAGCTCTCTGTGATGACTGGCACACATGGCAGCTCGGTGAAGTGAATGTTCCTGTTGTTCCTTCAGTTTGGTCAGCGAATGTGATGCCGAGGCTTTCGACCGACGGTGATGTTCACTGCATTCGGCGCACAGCCTTTTGACGCACTGCGTGCAGTAGAGAATCGCAGGATCCGCATCGATGCATTCGTCGCAACTGATGCAGTCAGCGGAGCTGCCAACTGCTCTGAAATCGAGGCTCTGGTTTTCCGCAAAATGACACAAGAATTTGTTGTAGTTTCCTTGGGTTTTGCTTGAAGGGATCCTCCAAAAAATGGAAAAAAATGAAACTCTAGATTCCCCGAATGGTTGACGTTCGGGAAAACAAGCATCACGTTAAACACGCATCCAGGTTTCCCTCCTTGATCTGGGAATCACAGAGTGGACATAAGGGCCTCTCCTCCTTGGAATCGGTCTGCAGAATGGCTTGCAAACATCGGCCACACGCCAGATGCAAACAGTCGAGCACCTTCACTTCGCGCCGGTTGCCAGTGAAATGGGCCATGTCCTTGAAAGGCACCTCTCAGGGAGCTCGATGGCGGTGAGACTTTGCAAGCTGGCGGATGGATTCTAACCCCCATCAATGGCTGAAGAATCAAGGCAAAGCCAGTGCTGGAGCCCCGAAAAATTGTCCCTTCAACGTATTTTTAGATGTTAACATCTCATAACATCTCTATCTTAACCCACCCCAATAAACGCAAATGAACAAATATTAGACTGATATGGTCTTGTCCGAAAATAAGGGCCTCCGGAAATCTCATGGTTAATCATCATTGGGCATAATTGAGGGATACCCCACTGTTCAAACACGCCCATACATCATCTTGGTGGTTATATAATTTGTGATTATATATAATGTTATTATATATCTATATATTATTATCTCCCCACTATAGTTGGTTCATGTTGGTTCTAAATCCCCATTTACTATCATTTGCTATCAGGGAAACTTGAGGGATCCAATCAAACTTCCATTTATGGAATTTATGGGGGCTTCCATTTAGAAATCAAACTTGAGGTTTCCATACCCTCCCAGTTGCTTCTGTTTTAAAGGCGAAACGGAGCCAAACGGAGCCCTCGAGCCCGCGGCCCTCGGCCTTGCAGAAGACGCAGCTCATGGTGTTGGCCGCCAGGTGGGCCCCCAGCTCCTGCTCCACGAAGCATTCCAGCTGCGACGGAACCACTGGAGCTCCCTGCCCTGCTCCCGGCCCCGGAGGCTCCGGGACGGCCATGGGCCAGGAGAAAAATGGATGACTTTGGTGGTTCGTTTTGGTGTGTTGAACGTGAAAATGTCATAAAATGTCTATATAGAAGTGTTCAAGTATTATATAGTTTGAACATATTGGATGGGGATGATATTAAGTGTTGTGTTTTTAATGGGTTTTAAACTGTGCGATGACAACCCCAAAGCGGAAAAGAACAGGACATGCTGGTGTTTAGAAATGGGAAATCAAAAAGCATGATTCAACTCCCCCATTCTCCCCCTCAATGGGGAGTATGCATCTAGATTCTGGATTCTCTATATATGTCACATACGTGGAAGTATGAATGAACCCCTTGAAAGGGGGCCAAGTCAAGATGCGCAGTTTTATTTGTCCAAATGGTTAGGGATGAAAACACCATGCTGTTCACATCAAAATAGCTGGTGTTCATGAATGTTAAACTCCCCCATATACAAACATGGTTTCATACGCTTTGACCCATCCCCCCTGTTGGTTGAAGGTTGTACTGTTTGATTATGGGCTTCTCTTGCACCGTTTAAATTGTTCAAGGGTGTGTCCATCCATCCTTGATGGAAATGAGTTCATACTCCCCGCTTCTGTCTATGGAGCTGAAAAAATAATGAGAGAATATGAGAGACAACTATGAGTCCGAATGTCCGAATGTCCGAATGTCTGTTTTATTTGAAACCCAGTCTGTCAAAGCATGTGCTGCTCCAGCAGGGACTGCCATGCCCCATCACCATGACATCACCGATGTCGCAGTGCCAGTTGGTGCCCATAGGTTCAATCATGTTCAACCCCGAACCTGGGATTTAAATCTCCAAAAACGATTCACTTTCCGAATAGCCTGCGAATAGCCTGAAAATAAGACATGTTCCCCAACATCAACCCAGTGTGGCATCTGCTTCAGCGGCTCCTTTGGCTCCTTCTGGGCGCTTTCCTTCGTTTCCTTCGTTTCTTTCTTGGCTTTCTTTGAGCTTGGCTCCGCACTCGGCGCTATGGGCGCTGGCGCTGCCGATGATGCAACAGTTTTGCGGACCTTCGGTTTTGACCTCGCCAGATCCAAGGACAGCAGTACCATGAATCTGAAGATGCCACACTGTACAGTACCCAAAAAGCACATCTGCGTATACAAAAATATGTGCGCAGAATTGCGCATAAAAATAGATATGCTGGCAGCATTCACACTAAGACTGCTGACCCGCAAAATCATGAAGTCCACATTTATGATATATATTAGCTTTTATTATGTATAAGATTGTATAAGCATGCAATCCATGGATGGTACAAGTTTGGGTGCAAAGTGCAATTGTCTCAGTTGGATACTTTTGGGGCTGGGACTCTGGCGATTTACCATCTTGCCATCGCTCGGGGAGTAGCAGCACGCTCAATCCAAGCGAGGGCCTGCGGAGCAGAGCCCTCAGCAATGCACATTTTCGATGCAATGGTCTTCAGGCACCAATCAGTGTAGATGCCAGTTTCTCATGTGAAGCAGCTGCTTCAGCAGTTTGCTTCAAATTCTGGTCATTTTACCATGGAAAATTGCCCATTGATGATTGACTTATCCAAGATGGTAACGTAGAAAACACTGGGAGCATTTCGGGTACCCTCTGGTAATTTAACATAGCTATTGAACATGACCATTTACAGTGGATTTTCCCATTGAAAATGGTAATTTTCCATAGTTTTTTGTATGTTTACCAGAGGGTAGTTCAACCGGCGCTTCGGCCTCAACTCTTCCATTTCGCAGTCAAAGGACTCGCCGTCCAGACCTGCTTCAATCTTTCCATCAATCCCAAGGTCCTGGCGGGGTCACCATGGGTCACCTGACAGGGGTTGAATCCAGGTTGAACCAGTTTTTTTCAAAGCTGGTTGGTGGTTGAGCCCTACCCCTCTGAAAAATATTAGTCAGTTGGGATCATTATTCCCATATGGAAAAAAATGTTCCAAACCACCAACCAGATAGATTTTTCTAAGAATGTTCACATAGAGTCACATAGCTTTTATATTGGCAGCTGGTCTTTCTATGGTTTCTCTGAGGTGCTTCCAGAACTGCCAAATCCTACCTGTACGCCACTGGAACCAAGCAGCTACAGCCTGGGGGAGGTCAAACGTCCATGGGTTGAGCCCTTCATCTCAAGGAACAAAACAAATCACACTCAGAAACCATCAGCCAGCTGGTTATGTAACATGTACAACATGCTGGCCAAATCCCGTTCCAATTTAAGTTGTTGATAAAATCAATCAAAAATGTCAACAAAAAACACCCAAACCCCAACAGCCATGTCCTTGGGAAGTTTCGGTGCGCTTTGGAGCTCTTCTGGTGGCCAGTATGCTTCAAACAAGCACAGCCGCTGTACCAGCTGCGCACGACTGCCTGTGCCACAACTGAAATCCATCCATCTGTCTCTATATATACATATGCGCATTGTCCAAAAACAAGGCGCACAGGCGCACGACATATATCATTCTGTATGTCAAGCGATTATCTTCTATTCTTCAACTTCGATGAAATTTCCGAGGCATGTTTGAGATTGTAACATATTGTAACTCAATTGTATAGTAGTCGCGATTGGTTACCACTGAGCACAGCATCTTTAGGCGGCTATCATCCATGTCGGACCTTTGATTGAAAGACCTCGTTGACGGCAAGCACGCCTAAGGCGTGGCCGTGGGCCATTTTTCTCAGGGGAGAGACTTCCCAGGTTGGATCGTTTACGGTATAATTTAACATAGCTATGGCTATGGCTATGGAAAATCACCATGTTTAATCGGTATCTAAACGGACCATTTTCCATAGCTATGTTAATTTACCAGAGGCTGCCAACTGCCAACTGCCGAGAATCCAGCACTGACCCGTTAAACTGTGGGTATTGTCCCAGCAATTTGGGGATAATGGGGACATCAACGGGCAAAAACGGGCATCTTGCCAGCAAAAATATTGAAAATACTGATCAAAATTGATGACCATAGGAAATATGTGGCAACCTTGTAATAATCGAAGCTTGCAAAGGGAAGCCAACCATTAATAGATGTTGATATGTTCATGCATTTTCCTCATTGAAGAAAAACACCGTTAACAACTCAATTCATTTACTAATAACTCATATTCATCTCCACTTATAGAATGAAGATATTTCGTTCATATATGCTCACATTATATCACATTATTTCATATTCATCTCCATTCCTTGATATTCACGGGAGATTTACATAGATTTCCCATATTTCCCCATGCTGGATACACAGAACGGGCGAACTTTCGCAGCCAAGCTTCTCGAGAGTAGCCAGATCTGTGGTGGACTGCCACTGTGCCTGGCCCTGGGGGCCCGAGGGGCCCTCACCCGGAGTGTGGCACATCACAGCCTCGGGAGCTCGGGAGCGGAGCCGGCGCGGTTGAGGGAACGGTTGTGGATGGCTCTTCAACGCCCATGGTGAAGTGGTGCTTTGGGTTGTTGGTTTGGTGAAGCAAATGTTTGATGATTCCAAAGGATCAAAAGGCTCTGGGATCCCAAAGCACTATCAGTTCATCATTGCTCGAATCTCTATCCCAAAAAGAGCGGGACAAATCAACAGTTCAAAGGTGCGTCTGCAACACCTTAGAATAAGACTCTGAAACCAATCTAAAACCACCGGCCTCACCTGCTGTGTGCTGGAAATGGTGCCAAACTGAGCCGCAAACCTCCAATCCTTTCCTGGCTCGGGCTTGCTGGAACAACATCTGAGAACACCAAAAACAAACACGAGTTGGCTATCTATCAAACAGCATGTCATCACCACATCACCACATCAAATACATCATATAGTGTCATATAGCCTCATATACATCATATTCTGCAATCACAGGCGCACACGTGTATAACATTACAAGCTATCAGCATCCTGCAGCACAGCACCACACTATTGCAGTAGCATGACTGGAGCCATTGCCACCACTGAGCATTCCGCGTGAAGCGCGGAGGGAAAAGGGCCCTGAGAGGAAACCATGGAACACTCTTTTGGCATCTTTGGGCTCGAGCGAAAGGAATGACATCTGACCAAATAACACTGGTCATGACTGAAAAAAGTTCTAAGCCGCAGGCCATTCAGTCCAATTCTCGACAAGCTTTAGCACCTGAAACTCTTCCCATTGTGATTGTTACAACGATAATTATTCACAGCCCGAGGTTCCAAACAAAGTTTCAGCGAGGAGTGAGGGAAAGTTCCACTGCAACATGGGTACATATGCTTAGAACACAATATGCATTTTTAAGAGGAGTGACCTTGCTGCTTCAAACAAATCACCACGAATGGTCTAATGTGCTCGGCCCGAGGAACAACCATCCCCAATGGATGAATTTTGCTGGTAATTCCGGTGAGGCTGTGAAACAAATATGTTTGCCATGAAACTTCCGAACTTTTCATTGTTTACCCTCTGGTAAACTAGAGGTAAATCCACGTTGGAACCGTTGGAACTCGACATCTCTCGTAGAATCTCGCCGCGCCACCCGATCTCGAAGAGCGCAGGCCGCAATGCTTGAAATCCCATCGCAAACCTGTACAAACGGCCCCTGATTTTTTGCCACCAATCAGGGGCCTTAAAAATGAACAGGTCATCCAAATATATGTAAATACTAAGTCATTCCGAATCAAGGCTTCAAATTCTAATGGTTTCTAGGGCCGAGGGGGTGATTTAATATTGGAATCAGGGATTATCCCCAATCTGTAATTACTTGTGATACGGGGGCCTCAAAGCGACACTGTAGACCTTTGCCATGAAGTTTGGCTCCGAGTTCAGCTTTCATGCACCAACCCCCTCAACTTGAGGATTTTGATAGTACAACGATTACAACGATGATTTGGTGTATGTCTATATGCTCCGGGACAGTGTTGGCCTCTCGAAGTCTTTCCATGACATCCTCAGCTATCGTGTCAATGTAGCTGTTGCCAGCAACAACGCATCAAATACATGCGCCACAGTGCAAAAGAAAGAAGCCCACAGTTGACAGTTTCCAAGGTAAAAAAATCCCCCAAGCGTTCATCTTCAAAATTAACTTTTCATCATCATCGAAAACAAAGATCTATCAATATCTATCAAGATTTTCCAATCAAGAAAATGCAGAGATCAGATGGGTTTGTCTGAAATTAGGGCACCCCCAATTCCAAACCGGGCTATTATCATTTTTGCCTAAACAACATATGGCCATTTGGAGGGGTCAATACCCCATTTGTCAGGTCCAAACCCATATATCCTATATCCCATTAATGGACATTAATCTATACAGAACGCAACTTACAAACATTCCGTTGGGATTTTTCAGGTACCAAACCCATATCTACCCCAATAACAATAGATATATATATATATACCATAATGTCAACTACCATAAATCATAGTTAACTATAAATGTACCCTATATATAATACTATATTGTCATATAATACTCTATAACTATATAATACTATATTGTTTTTGTTATATATAGTGCTAGTAATTTTTTCACTGCAATAATCTTGCCACTTTATTAATATATGGGGATGGGTCAAAACCTTGTACCCCTGGTGAACATCAAAATAGCTGGTAAATGGATGTTCATCCCCCTAAAAATGGTATGTATAGGTATTGATCCATACCCATATTAATACATATGCCAGATCTGCATCTCTGAGTTCCCCAGGCTGGCAGCAAGTCTTGAAACTGCCGTCGATATTGCGAGGCTCCGGGCTTTGTGCCTCAGGCCGCTGGCCGGATCAGGGCGGGAGCTTTGAGAGAGCTGGTCACCAACGAAGTTTATGGAGATATTATAGATAGATAGACAGATAGACAGATAGACAGATAGACAGATAGACAGATAGACAGATAGACAGAGACAGATAGACAGAGACAGATAGACAGAGACAGATAGACAGATAGACAGATAGACAGAGACAGATAGACAGAGACAGATAGACAGATAGACAGATAGACAGATAGACAGATAGACAGATAGACAGAGACAGATAGACAGATAGACAGATAGACAGAGACAGATAGACAGATAGACAGATAGACAGATAGACAGATAGACAGATAGACACAGAGACAGATAGACAGATAGACAGATAGACAGATAGACAGAGAGACAGATAGACAGATAGACAGATAGACAGATAGACAGATAGACAGATAGACAGATAGACAGATAGACAGATAGACAGAGACAGATAGACAGATAGACAGATAGACAGATAGACAGATAGACAGATAGACAGATAGACAGATAGACAGATAGACAGATAGACAGATAGACAGATAGACAGATAGACAGATAGACAGAGACAGATAGATAGATAGATAGATAGATATCTAGATAGATAGATAGATAGATAGACAGCTAGATAGACAGCTAGATAGATAGATAGATAGCTAGATAGCTAGATAGCTAGATAGCTAGATAGCTAGATAGATAGCTAGATAGCTAGATAGCTAGATAGATAGATAGCTAGATAGATAGATAGCTAGATAGATAGATAGTTAGATAGATAGCTAGATAGATAGATAGCTAGATAGATAGATAGCTAGTTAGATAGATAGCTAGATAGATAGATAGATAGCTAGATAGATAGATAGATAGCTAGATAGATAGATAGATAGGTAGATAGATAGATAGCTAGATAGGTAGCTAGATATCTAGATAGATAGATAGATAGCTAGATAGATAGCTAGATAGATAGACAGATAGATAGCTAGATAGATAGATAGCTAGATAGATAGAGCGATAGCTAGATAGATAGACAGATAGATAGCTAGATAGATAGATAGCTAGATAGCTTGATAGATAGATAGATAGATAGCTAGATAGCTAGATAGATAGATAGCTAGATATCTAGATAGATAGATAGCTAGATAGATAGCTAGATAGATAGATAGCTAGATAGATAGATAGCTAGATAGATAGATAGCTAGATAGATAGATAGATAGATAGCTAGATAGCTAGATAGATAGATAGCTAGATAGATAGACAGATAGATAGCTAGATAGATAGATAGCTAGATAGCTAGATAGATAGATAGATAACTAGATAGCTAGATAGACAGATAGATAGCTAGATAGATAGATAGCTAGATAGCTAGATAGATAGATAGATAGATAGCTAGATAGCTAGATAGATAGATAGATAGCTAGATAGATAGATAGATAGCTAGATAGCTAGATAGATAGATAGCTAGATAGATAGACAGATAGATAGCTAGATAGATAGATAGCTAGATAGCTAGATAGATAGATAGATAACTAGATAGCTAGATAGATAGATAGATAGCTAGATAGATAGACAGATAGATAGCTAGATAGATAGATAGCTAGATAGATAGATAGCTAGATAGATAGACAGATAGATAGCTAGATAGATAGATAGCTAGATAGCTAGATAGATAGATAGATAGATAGCTAGATAGCTAGATAGATAGATAGCTAGATAGCTAGATAGCTAGATAGATAGATAGTTAGATAGATAGATAGATAGCTAGATAGATAGATAGCTAGATAGATAGATAGCTAGTTAGATAGATAGCTAGATAGATAGATAGATAGCTAGATAGATAGATAGATAGCTAGATAGATACATAGATAGATAGCTAGCTAGATAGATAGATAGATAGCTAGATATCTAGATAGATAGATAGATAGATAGATAGCTAGAGAGATAGATAGACAGATAGATAGCTAGATAGATAGATAGCTAGATAGATAGATAGCTAGATAGATAGATAGATAGGCAGATAGCTAGATAGATAGATAGATAGCTAGATAGATAGATAGATAGCTAGATAGATAGATAGATAGCTAGATAGATAGATAGCTAGATAGATAGATAGCTAGATAGATAGATAGCTAGATAGATAGATAGCTAGATAGATAGATAGATAGATAAATATTAGATATTATTAGATATAGATATATAGATCTCATAACTTGTAACATTTTGTAATCAGTAGTATGATATTTAAAAAAATGAAGAAAAATAAACGAGTGTTTCTCACTTGACTCACACTGGGGGATAGGCCCCCAAGTTATGGGGATGTCTATAATAATTATAATAGCAAAAAGATTATCAACATTGTTTTAACATGTTTTGAGCGATAGTGGGTGAGCATGTTATCGATGTTGTACAACGTTCTTTCCAACCACTTAGCTACTCCCTGGCCCATCAAAACAGGCGTCAATAAGCAGCATCGCTGAGCCTGAGACAATGTGAGTTGTACAGGACCTGCACACAAAAAAACAAGAATGAGCGGAATCTCTACCACTGTCCCGACGTTTGTTGTATATCAGTTTCAAGCTTCGAAGATATCGACGTACCCTTCACTCAACAAGAAGTCCAAAAATTGATGTGTTCATCAACTTCTGTACTTTCATGATACTTTCCCTAGAACTAGAACCTGGTTGTGACCCCAGTTTCGGATGTTTCACCCTCCGTTTTATGAATCAACATTTTCGAAATCAAATCCAAAATCATAGCAACCCCGGATCAATAAACCCTGGTTGACTAAAAATTGGGGGCAGTCCCCAAATACTGATTTCATATAATATGATATCATCTAGTAAAATGGTGGACGCAAGGGTTTGTTTAAACGAAATCTGGGTTTGACATTCAGGGTCACAGCTGGGTTCCAAGATGTTCCAGGTAACAAGGAGTTCATCCAGGGCACGTCATTCAGTAGGTACATCCTCGCCACCAGCTGCTGTGTTGTGAGCCCTGACTGCGCCTCGGACCACTTGCGGTGATTCGAGAGAAGAGGTCAGAAGAGTCTATGACGCGAACCCAAAAAAGAAAAGAAGAACTTGGGATTTTACCGACTCTCTTCAAATGTGTTTTCAATGATGAGATTGTATTGGGTCACCCGCTTAATTTCAAGAGGCTTTTGTTTGGGATTTCACATGAGTTCACTGTAGTTTCACAGGATTCTCGCCAAGATTTGCTCTCTGTTCCCTGCGTGGCCTCCGTGATACTTGCGCCGATCTTCTGCGCAATTTGTAGCGAAGACATGGACTTGTCAACACAGAAGACCATGGCCTCACCAGGTCCCAAAAGGACGACCCTGCCATCCCTCCATCTCTTTTTTACCATGTCATGAGCAAAATCAAAAACAGGTTTTGGTGTGAGGGCTAGAAAAAATGTTTGGTGTGAACCGTTCTAAACTGACAAAAACACTTGATACCCAGTATGATTGGTGGCTGAAGTCCCAACGTCCGTTGGCTGACTTCATGGATGGCGCATCCCCATATTGGACAGAATGCCCATCAAGCGACAGTGCTGTCGCTAAGTGTTGCCACAAAAATGTTCATTGGATTGGTTTTACTTGGTTTTAAGGAAAAGATTACAGGAAGTCCTAGCAGTAATGGTAAAATGTTGATTTTCCCTTTCACCAATCCATTGAAATTGCAAACGTTGTCTTGCAAACTGCACTTTGAAGGCTGGGGCTACAAGTCTCTGTGAAAATGATGTGCGGATAGTTCAAAAATGGTCAAAAGAGCCTGCACTCCAGTGACATCCAGTGACACTCCCAAAAATCACCAGGATGAGATCTATTTATGTGTATGTGTGTGTGTGTGTGCGTGCAATATGTAGACTATGAATGGATGAAAAAATTACCCAAACTCGGGGTGTCTTATTTGGACCGTACATACCCATTGAATATCCAGCACTATTCTCTCAGGATCATGATCAATCTTAGCCAATTATCCTGCCAACACACACACTCTCTTTTTAGCCGGTTAGGATTTAAAACAATGCCTCCATTTTCCTCTCCAAATGACTTGAAAAATAGTAATATCTAACCCCCCCCCCCTAGAAACCCTCGGGTTTTTCGAGACCCGAAGCAAAGGTCCAACTGGGCCTTCAGGATGGAGGAGCGCGATAGAGTCAAATCTCCAATGAGCTCCTGGAACGCCGACACCTCCTGCCAGCGGAAATCTGGAGTGCCTGGGAAAATATGATAGACACTGCATAAAAAACTGGACAACTTCCAAGACTTCACAGGGAAAAGATGGAATAGCAGTTGAGAATGGTGTTGATTTAAGATGATTTAAGCGCTTCTCTAAAAACTGAGTTCAGGTTTGAACCCTTCAAATGGATCCAAATAGCAAACCTTCGGATAAATATTCATAAACTATGATAAATATTGATAAATCGGGCATGCTAGCATAGCAACACTAACCCTAAAAAAACATAGAAAACTAATTTTACTAATTTGCCATGATTTATAGCAACCCCCGAAAAAATAAACATGCCGAACAGTTGGACATCTGGAAATATCAGGAAAATCTATTATCGAAGTACCATCCTGGATTCCAACGTTTCTATCTTTTCAAAAGATGGTTTGTCATTGAGAAAGCCATGATAATCCCAAAAAAGACCATTATTATCCCAAGATAATCCCCATAATTCCCATGTTTCATAGGAATCCCAGTAGTTACCCCCTGGTGATTCGGATTTCTTCTACCATCCACAATGCCTCGGGCGCCAGACCCACTCCGCCTTGGAAGATGTGAAGCCAAGAGGGGTGGCTGCTGGGAAATACCAGGCATATGTGCATGATGTCTGTATATACATGTCTAAGTTATTTGTACTTATCTAGTTATCTACTTTTTTGTTGTATTTATCCATTGTGTATGTATATATATATATATACTCATCATAACTTTATCCCTTGATCTATTTATCACTTTACAGTATCTATTTATCATCACGTTATCAGACTTTATCCATGTTTTAATCAATTTCTTTATTGATCTATCGAATGTCCAGGCCCTTGATCTATCTGAAAGCCGAGCAGCCAATGACATTGTCCTTTCCACTGGTGGAGACGCTGGTGCCACTTTTTCTTCCCAAGAGGTCTCCAGCCTGCACGCCCTTAGCCGTTCTGGTGGGATGGATTGGGATGGTGATTTAATGTGATTTACCACATTTGTGTGTTTAAATTATATGAAATTTGACTCGTAACCACATTGAAAAAATGCTAGGTGGTTGAGAAAACCATGAAATGCGTGGTGATAGGGATATGTATGACGCCGATCATACTAACCTTAGAGCCAACTGAGCCCTAAGAAATTGATAGAGCCCAGTGTCAGTGCCCAAATTTCAAGGATGGAACATACAACGTCTTCGACCTCCACTGTAAGGGCTCATTGCTACAGGATCCATGAACAACGCATTACGTTGAGATGCGATGATGCTTCAATATCAAAACATATCAAAACCATTTGAAACCTACTTTCCTTGAGGTTTTTTGAACCCCAAAATTAGGAAACGCATGGAAACGCATACAAAAAAATGCTTTCGCGAACTCAGAGAAAAAAATCGCGGGGTCTCATATTGGAATCCTGGCGGCCTTTGTAGTGGACAATCTCTACATGGACCTTTAGATCGACAATCATATGTATACATGAGAAAATTGAAAAGGTTGACGCTTCAAATGGTACCAAAATTACCGGTCAAACCAAATCTCCGGTGTATCATTGCCAATCTTACCCTGCAACAAGTGAAAAAAAAACTTAGCTCGGAAATGCTTTTACATTCCAATCATTCAATCGCCAAAGATTTTCTAGGATTCAACTAAATTAAACTACCATAAACTACCCATCCAAAATTCATCGAGTTGGTTGACCTAAGGACCTACCGTGGTAACGGTTACGAAATCTACCACCGATGGTTGGTTTACTGTACCCGGTATGGGATACCCGGGCAGCGCTTGGCATTAGCATGTCGATCCGCTGGATGGCATCGGGCACCTCCTGGGCGTCACAGGCGCCATGGCATGGTATAGATATGTGTGTATATAATACACTGCACATGAAAATATTCATTGAGTTTAATATTCATGAATATACACATTTATATACAATAAATTTTAAAAAATGTTTTTTTTATAGTTTTACATCACGCTAAACATATTAAAATCTACAGAGTTGTTGATTCCGACTCCTCAACGCGCTTGTCGCAAGCTGGAGGCTGCCACAAGGGCCCATTCTCGTAGATCTGAAAAGGCCTCGATGGGAGAACTCGACATTTCTGTGGCTTAGAATGGCTTAAATCATCAAAAATCTCAGTTGTTTGTTGGTTAATTCATGTTGAATCTAATCCCTTCTCCCGAAAATATTCAATATAAATACCCCCAAAGGAAACCATGATTGAGTAAAGTAATGTAAAGTACTCGATTTGTTCGCGTTTGGGCCCCATTTGCGCCTTTCGGTATTTGAGGGAACTGGATTATTTCTCAAATCATCCATTTAATCATTTATATCTATCTGTGGCATATGTGACAACATGCCGCATACGAGGCATATGCATGCATACTATAACCCAAAAAACAGAAACAATATGAAACAAAAACTATCCAAAACTATCGAAACATTATGCCCTGGGCCACGGCCATGGATGCTGTCCTATCCCAAGCTCAACCTTTTCAGCACTTGAGGTACCAACTCTGTACGCCAGAACCTGTCATTATCACCTTGCGAGAAGGAAAAGGTCCTCCAACCTCGATTTCAAGATGGCGGAACCCCAATCACCATTTGGGGACTGTTATAATTCACCCCACATAGGGATAGTTCTTAAATACCCCACATAGGGGTGCTTGGATCTATTGGAGCCAATGAGTTAAGCACAGTATATCCCCTCTATTTCCTTATGATAACTGCTTGTTAATTAGTAATTCATTTCTGCTACGGGAATCATTGTTATTATATACCCATATATCCTCTATTATTTTCCAGCGCTTGGTGGGGTACATCTCCACCCAATTTTAATGGCGTACTTAGCATCCGACGGTAGTAGACATGCAGCGGCTCTTCCAGATTGTCTTTATCGACGGACATGAAGCCAAACCTGCTGGCAATGGTGCGCAAGGTCCCCTTGTGCGTGGCGGGGATGAAGCCTCTGCTTGGAGGTCTTAGTTTCTAAGTGGGCAATCATAGGACAATCTCACTTAACTTAGAAATGGGATGTAATCACCACATTAACAGTAGATTACTATAGATTATGATTAATTACTGTAAATTTGATGAATGAGTTACAGTGACCACTTGGCAGGGCCTGCCTGGGATTGCCCTTCTCCTTGTCCAAGAGAAGTTTCTCCTCATCTTGGCGCCGGAACCGGTCGCGGTCATTGTGCATCACTATCCCCAATCCCGGCGTTTCCCATCTACGAAACCAGCACCAACTGCGAGATTTCAACTCGCATCTCACAAACTGCGAGCCAGGTGTCAAATTCCCACCCTTCATCAGCTACAAACTCAGCAGTCTTGTCGATAAGCTTCTTCAGAACCTCTCTGCTGTGGCTCACGTGGATTCGCAGGGCACATGAAAAAGCTCAGCCAATGTCACCAAAGCTTCACTGGTGCAAACTGCTAGATTAATTCCTTCCCCCCAATCTCAAATACCCATGACTGGTCCCCCATTCAGTGAATAGATCATTATAGATCCAATACTAAACCCAAATAATCAGAATAGATCCATAATCCAATCATAATGTAGACCCAATCAAAACGGATAGGCCCGATATGGATGGTATTTCAATGTATTTTAACAGTATATACAGTATAGCCTGATCCTCAGGAACTTTCACCACCAAAGTCTTGGCCAAGTTCCACCTGGGGGATGAGCCACCGGAACATGATAGGAACATGATGGGAACATGATGGGAACATGATGATCTACCACACCCTGAAACAATTCTCTGAAACAACCAGCAGGTCACCCCGAGCCAGGCTAAGGGGCCACTGAGGCAACCCTGGGGCAACGGCCGCGATTTCCTCTCCCCAATGTTTGAGGCCTGTTTCGTAGGCCATGGGCAAGCCATTTTCATGATTGGAGCTACTTGGCTTCCAACTGGGTCCCAAAATTGAAGTAAAAGATTCATGGTGAGTCAAAGGATGACCAAGACTTGTCGGCCCCTGAACCTCATCTTTCGCCCATCTTATCCTCATATACAAACGACCCTTCCAAGCACTCAAATGTACCAAGCGCCCCGCAGAAGAACTCTCACCGGAAGTGATCATCGGCATAGGCTTGGGCTTGGGTGTTTCCACATGCCTTGGGGGCAACGGCGTTGCCCATTTTGGCAGGTTCTTACGGTAATAATCCCCAACTTTTGCTTTGGGTACAATATTGATATATTATATAGATTATAGATCTAATTATACCCTCCAGGAAAAAATACGTGGAAAACCCACCACTTGTAGATCATTGTTCTAGGTTTTCACTGGTTTTCCCACATCTACCCTCTGGTAAACTAACATAACTATGGGAAATCACCATTTTCAATGGGTAAATCCGCTATAAATGGTCATTTTCAATAGCTATGTTAGTTTACCAGAGGGTAGCTTACTCCAAGGATCTCCAAGGTCTCCCACCACCCGCGGCCGCCAAGCTTCGGCATCAAGGCGGGCTTGCTGATGATGCTGGGAGTCACACCCAGGCCCATGACCGCCGTCACATTCCTGCGGATGCTGATCCCATGGCGATGCTGCTTAGTGAGAATTTCTATCATATATTGGGATATACATGGATTTATTGGGTTATATGGTGTATATATATATATATAAACTATAAACATATATATATATATAATTATATGTTTACATCATATGAGGAATTGCATGGGGTTTCATCCCCAAACAACATCCAAGCACCATCACCACCAAGCGATGTACAGGCTGCTGTCCTCACCGGCTGAATGGCTCGGCCCCAATCAATGCGCAGGCACATGCCAAAATACTCCTGGAACCGACCGCGTTGCCGCAACCGCCGCGTTGCCGCCGCTTGCGCGGTGTCCGTCGTTTTTTTTTGTGCGGATGATAGTCTCAGAAACTTCTTGAAGTGACAAAATGACCCATAAAAACCCACTTTGTAGTGGCCTTAAGGCCACCCATTTTGTATGGGAAATTCGCTGGGGGATGGTTGATAACTCTTAGTGTTTGACTCAAATAGATCCCAAAGATATTGGCAAATTGGAATCATCCCATGGAATGTAGGGAGTCGTCAAGAAAAATCAATTCGGTTGAAACCTCAACTGGACAGCTGGGGACTCATATAATGACATCTATACATACTGGGCTACGACTCAGCTACTAACCAGCTAGCTAATCCCAAGGGCCATTCAAGTAACATTGGCTAATAACTAATAATCATCGCATACCTCGAGTATATAAGATATGATATATGTTATACATATATATATATAAAGGTATTATAATGTTATATTATATATATATAATGTATTATAATGTATTATAATGCACATGTTATATAATACATATGGTTGCTTAGCTACAGCTGTACTTATGATTCCGGGGTACACCCATGTAGGGGGAATGTTCCTGTCGCAACTAGCGGTTGCTACAAGTTGGTGCCTCCAACTTCTAAATTAGTTTGTTGCCCATCTAACGATATAGCAATTTCATCACCATAATCCAACAGTTACTCCAACCAACTTGGCTATCTCAATCCAGAAAACTTAGTGTAAAAAACATGTTGAAATCACCATTATTCTGGTGATTTCCCCACTTTTTGCAGCCAGATCCCCCCTTCCCACCTTGCCATTGAGCTTGGTTCGAGCCAGTTCCGCCTGCGCACGTGTCTTGAACTGCACGAAGCCGCTGTTCATCCCTGCAGACTGGGTCCGCTCAGGAAACCCAATGACCAGATTGACCCCTAGGCATGATATGTTAATTGGATGTTTTCCGAAATATTCTGGTACCCCCAAATCATCCATTTTAGAGCATTTGAGTCCGAAAACCATGGTGACTTGGGGATCACCCATTTTGAGAACCCCCCAAATGATGATCAACATTGATCAACCATAGGACGGAATGGGGCACACCACTTCTTGGTCAAACCAAAAAAAGGGACGCTGAAATCTACTTAAAAATGTGGCTCCGTGGAAGTTGAGGGCCCACCAACAAATTTATGACAGAGAAGTCTCACCTGGGAGTATCCCAGTTCTAAACCCTAAGGTTTCGTTTACAACCATGGTCAACAAAGCATCGGTTATGTCGCCATATGTCGTTTGAAAAAAACAAATTAATTGCTTTGTTTAACGATTGTTGTAATTGCAAACCTAATTTTATGGTGAACTATGGTCGTTAAATCTTTTTGGCTATTTTATATACCCTGTGGTAATTTAACATAGCTATTGAAAATGGATGAAAATGGCACATTTATAGTTGATTTACCTATATATTACAGATGGTGATTTTCCATTGGTGTATGCTGATTCCGTAGCCCCTAGTAGCCAAAGGGTTCTCAATGATCACCGAACCATGACGGCACCTCGGAGGCGCTGTTGGTCAGTCCTGGGTGAAGTCCCGAAAGAAGAAAGAAGTCCTCTTGACACTCCCCACTAATATCACTAATTAATTAATGTGAACATTTAGGTCCCTAAGTTCTCATTTTATCGTTTTTCCCGAATGCGTAGCAAGGGTTCCCGTTTCACTCTGGGGGTCTGGGGGTTGAGGGTGTGTTCGCTCGACGTCGCGCAACTGTTCGCAGCCGTCTGCAACCGTTCACGCGAGGCCCGTATGGCCGTGCCTATGGCAAGTTCTGCACCAGTGGTCACTTTTGCAGGTTTCCAGCATCGCGTTGCTTCGTTTCGCGTGGCAGGCGTGGCACTTCGTGACATTCAAACGTGTGTTGTAACGTGTCGAAAAATCGTTTTGTGTGGCAGGCGCAATACTTTTGCGACGTTTTCAGAAGATACGTTGCAGTTTTCGTGGCAGGCGCAGCACTTTGGCGACCTCCATCACCATTTCGCGTGGCAGGCGCACCACTTTAGACGTGTCGTGTGGCTCATTTTTTGCGAATCGCATTGTCAGGGCTGCGTCAAGTGCTGATAACGTGCAAATTCCGTGGCAAGCGTGGCATTTTGTGATATGTGCTGAAAATTGACGGAAGCTTCGCACGAAACATCGATTTGAGGTTGCAAGTTTTGATGTTCATTAAGAAAACTCGTAGGAAAACGTCGATTTTGGAGCTACAAAGTCTGAAAATGGAAGAAGTCTCGCACGAAATGCTCTTTTTGATGCTCCAACATGTCTCGTCTCGAGTTCTCCGGTTTTCCTCTGGCCTCACCGTGTCTATGAGGAAGCTGCAACACCGATCCTTTTCCTAGGTTTCCAAGCAGGTTGTCATGTCATTTGCGTGGCAGGCACTTGGTGATATTCTCACGTGTCTGCAAAAGCGTCGAAAGTCGTTTTGTGTGGAAGGCGCAACTCTACACTCCACACATCTCCACACTCCACACTCCACACTTTACACTTTACACTGTACACTCCACACTTTACACTCCACACTCTACACACGACACTCCCCACTTGACACTTGACACTTTACACTCCACACTTTCCACTCCACACTTTACACTTTACACTCCACACTTCACACTCCACACGTTACACTTTACACTTCACGCTCCACCCTCCACACTTTACACTCCACACTTTACACTCCACACTCCACACTTCACACTCCACACTTCACACTCCACACTCCACACTCTAGACTTTACACTCCACATTCCACGCTTTACACTGAACACTTCACACTTTACACTCCACATTCCACACTCCACACTTTACACTTTACACTGTACACTCCACACTTTACACTCCACACTCCACACTTCACACTCCACATTCCACACTCCACACTCTACACTCCACAATTTACACTCCACACTTTACACTTTACACTCCACACTTCACGCTCCACCCTCCACACTTTACACTCCACACTTTACACTCCACACTCCACACTTCACACTGCACACTCCACACTCCACACTTCACACTCCACATTCCACACTCCACACTTTACACTTTACACTACACTGTACACTCCACACTTTACACTCCACACTCCACACTTCACACTCCACACTTCACACTCCACACTCCACACTTTGCATTCCAGCCTCTTCCGCATTCCACAGTCTACAGTGCACTGGTACGGTAAGAGGGGAAAAATGTACAGGACTGTTCAAATAACTTGTTTCACAAAAGTGGTCTACTTTTTGGCTGCATCTTGTTTTTCCAGTATCCCCATTGATTCATGTGGTAAACCATGGTAAACCCAATGCCCACAAACCAATCCCAATATTCCCAATTCATCACCATTTTACCGCCCCAGTCCTGGGGTACATGATCTTGATGGAAGTGATCTCTCCGAAACGGCCAAACCTCGGCGACGCCGAATCATTCGGACCACTTAAAGAGGTGTCCCAGCTGCTGTCAAAAATCACTGCCATATCGCTATCAACCACAGAAATAATGATAGGCGTTGGTGCGTGTGCACGCGTACCTTCATCTATAATATAACATATTATATATATATATATAAAAAAAAAATGTGTGTGTGTGATGTATATGTACTGCATATTTTATGTATATGTACTGTATATATGATGTATATGTACTGTATATATGTTCACCCCTTAGAGATTCAATGTCACATTCAAACCTCAGCTCCCACGTCCAATATCTTCCAGTCAGTGCCAGACTCGCACTCAGTGCCAGACTCACGCGAAAGCAGCTCTTCAGTCCATTCTGTTGACAGAGATCCCACGTAGAGATTGTTGGTGTCCTGCCCCTGGCTGGAACTCTTCCATCATGGAGGTGGTTTTCTCTCAAAAGAAGGCACCAAAACCTCCCAAAAAAAGTTTCCAGATGTTACACCCGTGTTGGTTCGTATATAGTCCAATCATTGCAGTTGTAAGAGAACCTGCCAAGAAACATATCGAATAATCCCATCCTCCTAATTTTAAACACACTGCCTGGTCCCAAACAAATATCCCAAATATAGCTCCTCTGCAGCCGTCAAGGGCCCCGTAGTCTGCGGCTGGTGGGTGGGCAGCGCAATGTTCCCATCAGCCTGAGCCTTAATCCATCACCCAAAATCTTGAAGAAAATCATCTAAAAAACACCAAATCCATCCAAGTCCCACTATAGAAAAGTTGGAGACCTGAAAAGTTGGGAACTGGAAGCATCATGTGTAATATCCTGGAAGCACGTTTAGGCATCTTTTTGGGACCGCTTGTTGCCGCAGGACTACTTATTGCCATGGTGTGATGATTAACACGGCCATTGGGCAAAAAGGAGTGGAAGAGGCCAAACATTTGGCCAGAGGATTTCCTAGGCTGTTTTGCCGCCAACTTGAGAAGGAGATGTGAGAGTTAGCGGCTGGGCCGCAGTTGGATACATAGGGAATATTTCATTTTGGACACTCCCAAATCAGAGTCTGAGATGAATTGCCCTGAGCCAACTGCGAGAAATCCTTCCACGTATGAGAGCTCTTGCCTAGTGCCGGCGGATTCACTGACAATTGCTCATGCTGGCTCGCATAGTTGTGTTGACTTACATTGGCACATTTGGCACGCAGGGCACCTCAGCCGCGCAATGCGTCCGATGTCCTGACATTGGCACTTTTTGGGCTTCAGTGCAATGCAACAAGGCCGCGAAACCCAGGTCCTGCGGAGAAGAAACCATGAGAGAGTCGACCTCTTCTCTCAATCTTTTCCTCGAGGAAATGACATGTCAAATCAGGTCAATATTTATATATATCAATATCTTCAAGGCAGCGCGAGGCTCTTGAAGTTGCTACATCTTCAGTTTTCAGTTCGTGTCAGTTTGGATGATACCAGAAATTGTACACCTTAAATGGGTATGCGAATGCATCTGAAATCTCCCTCAGTCAAATTTCAGCGTGTACTCCCCCGTATTCAAACATGGCTGGATTTTCACCCCCATAAATGAGGTGTTAATGGGCCATGTTATCTATAAATGGAGGAGTTTCCATGGAATTTTCCAGCCATGTTTGATTCCCGGGTACTCACCAGGGTCTCGGCCGTTGCTCTCGCTTTTCTTGTTTCAGTTTCATTTCCTGACACCGGCCAGGTACGCTAAAATATAGATCTCCGAGTTGATACGTGAAATTCACGTATCCAGTCAGTTGGACAGTGATTCATGAAACATGTACCATCTGGTTATGACTAACACTTTGCCATGGAAAATCCACCCATTTTGAAAATAGGTTTTCACCCAGGTATGGCCCATCTATTTCTAGCCATCTATACCATGGTTATGTTAGTCACAGGCCGGGTACATCATTCAAAGCTACTGGGCTCCAGTAGAGCCAAAAGGTCGGAAGTCCTCCAAAAGGCTCATGGACTCTGAGACCTTGCCCTTGCCTCCCTGGTCGCGATGGGAAAAACTGGGAACATTGGGATGAACATTAGGAAAATTGGGGATGAATATGGTGCTAATATTGTAAGGATGTATGAAAATTTTGAAAATAATATCCCAACTACTATATCCATGTATCAGCGATGGACATTGGGAAAATCCGGAGCTCCTTGGTGTCATTGTTTTGCGCAGTTTATTCATTGGCCGTTTGGTGATTTTCCAGAAGGGAAGCCGCACCCCAAAAGGGCCATTGTATTGAAAATACGTTCTATGTTGAACTTATCGACCAATCAAATTTGTACATATTTGCTTTCCTACTCTGGGATCCCCATTCCCAATGCTCCTGACCCAGCAAGGGCTATGTAAATCCCTATCTCATGATGTTTACAGTACTCCACTATTCATGGGATGATGGTGGAAGTCCTCAAGCAAATGATGAGTCACTGGGCAAGAACTTATAAAATATCTCACTTCTGCAGGCTGCAGGCCCATAACTGGGTTATAAAAAGGTCCATCATCCACTTCCTGCGATTATCATGCTAATTCTTTCAAAGTTATTGAATGACAGTATCAACGATGATCAGTACTTATTAATCCCGTACCTCTCATAGTAAACACCCCCCAGAAACTATGGTTTAGCACGGGATTTACACATCTTTGGGACCATAGAGGGGTTTATGAGGGTGCTTAATATGATGGATGGGTGATGGCAAGATAATTTTAATTATATATTATATATATAATACTACCTATTTGATTGCAATGAAAAGTGCCGTAATGGGTGAATAATGTGATTGTTACGTACACATGTCTTATTAGACAATATTATCTATCATGTGGTTGGGAAACCTCTTGGTGGCTCCTTGGCTACTCATTGTTCACAGGGATTATGGACACGCATAGCTCCTTAGTCCCTCCCCACCACCAAATAGTTGTTGCAACGTGAGGTACCCCCAGTTATGTTTGTTGGTGTGTAAACCCATGACATGAATACCATATAGTTATATAGTTTTATAGTTATATAAAGTTATATAGTTTGCTATATAGTTATAGTGATATAGTTATATAGTTATATATGATATAATATATTTATATTCCCCATACAGTAAAACCTAACATTAACCAAGGCAAATGTGCGTCAACTTTGCGGTTTGGGGAGCTCACCTCCAAAAATTGTTGTTTGTTTCATGGCAAAAATATTGGGCTAGTTACATTAGTAATGGGATTTAATGGGAATATCCCGTACTATATGGGAATATCCCATATTTGATGGAATATATTAGATTAATTATATTAGTAATGTCATCATAATTATATGGCTTATATCCCGACTTACGGAGGTTATTACCATAGTCATACCAATGAACTGCATGAACATAGTGGTAAAGTAGTAAGATCATAATGTTTTAAACCCTCGCTGCCATAAACCATCCCCATCCATCACCATTTTGATGGATGCTATGTTTACCATCCCCAATGGTGGTCATTGTTTATGGCAGCCAGGGTTTCCCATATTATTTATGGAGGTTGAATATTACCATATATTACTAAATTATCATAGCCAAAGTTATATCCATTTATCACACTAATAATGGTAATGTGTTAAAGCAATAGTGCACCATCCCCAAAATCACCATGTATAGGGAATATCCCTTTTATGTATGGAGGATAAGTACGGTAATATGATGATTGCACCATTATTAACCATTATCAATTATGAATGTGATTAATCGGTAGAACTACATGGTAATATATGGTAAAAGCCTCCACAATGTTGGTTTGTAAACCCCATGAACTATAGATACCATCTGGTTATTTAACATAGCCATGGAAAATCCGTTATAAATGGAGGTGTTAATGGGAAAATCATAAAATCATCTATAAATGGGCATTTTCCATTGCTATGTTAAATAACCAGAGGGTATATCCCATTAAATCCCATTAAATCCCATTAAACCACCATTAAATCCCATTAAATCCCATTAAATCCCATTAAACCACCATTTTCCCATGGTTTTAAGCCACCCATTGTCCCGCCTTTGCGGCGGCACCGCTGAAGCCCATGCCTGGAGGAAGCCCCTGGAGCCCTGGTGGCCGCCAGGGGCCGGGCCTGCGAAGAGGTGGTTTGGGGTGAAGGGGTTTCGCCAAGGAAAACGGGGGTTTCACCAACAAAAATCGGAGGTTTAACCAACAAAAATGGAGGTTTAACATGGTGTCAGTGTAACTAAGTATTCAAACCCGGTGGTTGTTTAGAGCCTTTCTTGCATGTGGCTTGGTCTGACTATGGAGTACACCCCACAAATGGTGATGTTAATTGGGAAATGATGACGGGGATTAAATGGGGTGCCCTTTTCAAACAAATGATCTTTAGGGATCTGAATGGCCATGGTGATTTCAACCAGTAGAAATCAATGATGTAACCACCACTAAACATCCAAATTTAAAGGATAGGTCAAGGTATAATTGCCAGGCCATGTAGGCCATGTGAACCATAAAGTGGTTGGTTATATAGTTTTGGTTGATGCAGTCAGGCGGGCAATGATGATGTAGCCGTGTTTTTTCAACATCCCAGTGGCGTCGCAGCATCGAAATCGCACGGATTTTGGGGGGGCAAGGAAGGTGCGGGGCGCAGCACCGGCAAACTTTGCGCATACTGAACACTGTACATGGAAGTGCGGTGGGCGGAACCACCCGGAGTGCGTCTGCACCGTTTAGATCTATCTATCTACAGCATCTTTCAGCCAGCTCAATGAATCAGACTCTTGGAATGAGAGAGTTGCGCTCCTTGGCGCACATGAAATGAAGAAAACGACCACAAAGTCTGTTGAACACCTAAATCATCATGGAATCAATTTGGATTCATCATGGAATCATCGATAAACATTGTTCCAGCACCAAACGGTAGCCCAATCTTTTCCGGCCAAGAAACATCATGTCTGCGCACTCGGGCTAAGCGAGGTTGCCGGGGCTCCCGTTGTGGGCAAAGTCGCTGAACCACCTGCATGCACGGAATATTATTCACAGGTCTCTAGCCATATTTTGGAGATTTTTACCCATTGGAAGACTTGCCTTTGTCCCTATGTTGATTTAGGGAATTCATGGAAAATCTATATACAGGAAAGCATGGTCTTGACATGTCTTGACCCTAAAATAATTCAACATCCGGATTTCGTGGATGTTTTGTGGTGTTTTTCACCACTCCATTCAGTGATAAAAATGGTGACCCCATGTGTAAGAATTGGGGACTCATCAATGTACTGGGCACACTGGCTGGGTTTGACTCCAGAGACGGTAGAGAAACGGTAGGAATTGCACAAAAACCAGAGAGGTCCTTGACCTTGACATGGAAAATCTATCAACATCACCTGAAAACTAGCAATCACTTTCTGGAAAAAACGCACGCCATTGAAATGGTGATGTTTGTCCCTCTTGGCATCCTCAAGTACTTCACCACTATTTAACCTGCTGATGCGTTGTTTTTGTTTAAATACGGTATATATCGCTGCAAAATGAGAAAAATATTGAAGAAAATTAAATGGAAAATGTATGGTCTAGTAACATATATGATAAACGACTTCGACAACCATGGGTTTATCTGATGGGTTGTCGTCTCAATATTAGTCGCATATTGTCTTATATGATCATATTTAATTAAAAATCACCATATTTCACCATACATGACATACTGGTATCACATATGATGAAAATAGATGGAAACACTGCGTTTGTCACGTGGGTTTGTCTGATCACCCAACCTTTTTGCACGACGTCGACACACAGTCGACTGAGCGCTTCAGTACCCTCCAGGTCGTCTGCAAGGCACTGTGCCTGGTGGACGAGCTGATGTGATGTGCACACGATACGTAGATAACAAATAAATCATTCCAGAATACACATGTATGTGGATATATGTGGATATTAATCGATGTTTATGACATTGTATTTATAATCACTTATATGTAATGTTGCAGTATCTGTCTGTGTAGCAAGTGATGTCGATTTTCCATAATTTTCCATTGAACATGAATGGTTATTTATATACAGCAAACAGCAAACAACCTTGAACATTCATAAACATAAACACTGAAAACACAGGACATTTACCACCTCTGAAATATTATGAAAGATTAACTGGGGCAAAAAGTGCAAGCTAAGCAAAGTACAAGGCGTGGCCGCAGCGTCTTCCCTGTCTGTGTTGGAATGGGATCTGGCACTGGCACTGCATTCCACGGAAGCGACGCTGAAAAGGCTCGATGATCAGCGACACTCTGTGTCGGAGCCTGCCTTAGCTGTTGATGGTTCAGAAGCAAGGATGCTAATGACATAATTTGACATGGGGATAGGTCAAACATCTCTCTCTGCCTAACTTATTTATGTAACTTCTGTATTTACGTATTTATCTATTCAAGGGATACGCAATAATTTCCAAGCTTTTGAAACATTTGAAGCTCATATCCGTTGCCAGTGCCATATCTCACTGACACAAATCCAATTGCTCCCCCGGGTGCCCGCCATCGCTCCACACGTTCGTCGGCGCCATGCCGTGGCGTGTTCAATCCATTCCTGACACGAGCGGATGCATCAGCATTTCGTGAAAAACCATGTTTGATACGGTCAATATCGGTCAATCTTTTGGCACGACACCAAAAAGTCGATGCGGTAAACCCAAGATGAAGCCCACAATGTTTGATGATGTTTGATGGCTAAATCCTGCCCATTTCTGATAAAATTGAGGATCGTCTATTGCTGAGTGTAATTATATCACATTGTGCTTGTTCCCAACTCCTGAAGCAACTGTCCCACTCGTCTCAAGCACCGGCCAATCCCTCGGACCATGGGCTGCACAAGACCTTGAAGCAGGGTAGAATATGCAAAATGAACAGTGGGATGCCAAAAATGATTGGCCAGGTACAAAGAAATTTGGTTTGGAAACTACACAAATGGATTCGGAAACTACAGAGCCCGATTCCGACAGTATCATTTGGAAACTATGGGGGGCAATTAAACAAAACGGATTAAGAAACAAAAGAAATGATGAGAAATGGATGTGTGCAATGTTTGGTTGGGGCCAAATCTAGCCATGTAGCTGGAAGAAAGTCCACGACATGCCCATCTGCAGCAGGGTAAGATCCGTTCGCGGCAAATCCAGTTGACCTTGCAGCAGTGGCCAAGAAGTTCTGGAGCCTTCATGATGGCAAGTGCTCGCGGCTAAAAACGTCAAAAACATCAAGAAACTGTGAAGGAGTCTAAAATCTGAGTGCATTGGCTGCTTGTTCAATCCATCTTCCCAGTGTGCGCATAGCCCTGGATGTAGGAGAAAGGAACCACTCCTGACAAATGTCACAAGATGTCACAAGTAATGTTGCACCACAGGATGGAAGATGTATATCAACATTTCGCTCATCGCTTTACCCTCAACTTGGCCTCAACCATGATTTATAGGGTCAATCTTCTGCACATGTTCTGCCACTCCTGAAGCAACTGCCCCACTCGTCTCAAGCACCGGCCAATCCCTCGGACCATGGGCTGCACAAGACCTTGAAGCAGGGTAGAATATGCAAAATGAACCTTTCAAGGGAAAGTCACCACCATTCTACATCTCTATCATGTGCCTTCCGGTTTTCTCTTTGCCCCAAACAACAAGGACAAAGACAAGAGGGCAGAAATGCTATGGGAAGCTAAACAGTGGGATGCCAAAAATGATTGGCCAGCGGCCAGGTACAAAGAAATTTGGTTTGGAAACTACATAATAGGATTCGGAAACTACAGAGCCCGATTCCGACAGTATCATTTGGAAACTATGGGGGGCAATTAAACAAAACGGATTAAGAAACAAAAGAAATGATTAGAAATGGATGTGTGCAATGTTTGGTTGGGGCCAAATCTAGCCATGTAGCTGGAAGAAAGTCCACGGCATGCCCATCTGCAGCAGGGTAAGATCCGGTCGCGGCAAATCCAGTTGACCTTGCAGCAGTGGCCAAGAAGTTCTGGAGCCTTCATGATGGCAAGTGCTCGCGGCTAAAAACGTCAAAAACATCAAGAAACTGTGAAGGAGTCTCAAATCTGAGTGCATTGGCTGCTTGTTCAATCCATCTTCCCAGTGTGCGCATAGCCCTGGATGTAGGAGAAAGGAACCACTCCTGACAAATGTCACAAGATGTCACAAGTAATGTTGCACCACAGGGTGGAAGATGTATATCAACATTTCGCTCATCGCTTTACCCTCAACTTGGCCTCAACCATGATTTATAGGGTCAATCTTCTGCACATATTCTGCCACTCCTGAAGCAACTCTTCCACTCGTCTCAAGCACCGGCCAATCCCTCGGACCATGGGCTGCACAAGACCTTGGCGAATGTCAGGGATCGAAGAGGTCCGAGGCCTCCTCCATAGGGGGGCACTTCAACATCGCATCACCAAGTTGCTGCGCGTGCATTGCATGAGGGACCGAAGAGCTGCCGTGGTTCTCTCTTCCTCTGCGGTGGCAAGTTTCCAAACATTCCCAGAATTGTTTTTTTCGAAAAATCTGCAGGAAGCTTCCTCTGATTAGTGGAACCTAAGCCATGGTTTCCTGTACTTCGTTCCCTTAAACCAATCATAACCAATCCATTTGAAACATAGACAGCCAGAAAAAAAAAACTAGGCATGCTGGGCATGCTGGGCCCAGGCTCCAAGTCGACATAAAGGCGTCGCCTCACAAGAAAGCGCTGGTACATGGGAGCATAGTGAGACGCCAAGTCGTTGGACAAACCTCAGCTGGTCACATCCCTTCCCAAATTGGGATGGCCAAGGTGAGGCCCCCTAGATAGGTAAGTTGGTTTTGAACCAGGTTAAGTATGGTTCACGGAAGATAGATCTATATAGATTTATAGTTAATATTAGTTTATGGGGTTATTAAAAAAAACTTATTCCTGGGCAGGCTCAACTTGTACATGTCATGTCATCTTTGACATCGGTAACTGCGGAATGTATCGGTGATCATTATCATTGAATCTGATCAAATGTACTGTGTGCTTATCTCGGCCCCCGATGGAATGTCCAATCATTTTCACCTGGTGGGTTAATCCCCGCGAAAAAATATGCTCGTGATTGGGGATCATCATCCCAGTCAGAATATGGTTGAACATGTTTACACACAAATGAAGTAACCCAACTGTTCTATTCCATTAGAACCTATTATTCCAAAGGTAAACTAACATAGATTCTAGGTGTGGAAAAATCAACCATTTGTAGACGATTTTCCTGCAAAAACCATGGCTTTTCCACATCTATGTCAGTTTGGGTAAATCCCAGTTTCTATGTCCATCCGTTTCATGTTGATCGACCGGTGGAGCCTGCCAAGCTACTCTGCCATAGTTCCTGCAAGGTCTCATCTGTGGCATTCCCCGCCGTATCCTCCGTGCCCACCAGTTTCACGACCAGCTCCATGCTGCGGCCCCAAAGACAGAGCCAAACAATGTGGAGCTCTGCCTCCTCTAAGGTGTTGGTCAAATCCTGTGGTGGAAAAAAAGGTGGACACACATGTAGAAAAATGACATGTTTCAGAGCCTACGTTTTTTTGGAACATTTCACAGGCTGATAAGGCTGATATATCATAATCCGTATCAATTCATATAAACTGATCATGTGAGTTCAGACCTTAGTTTTTTCACATCTTTTCACAACATCTCTGAATCTGGACGTCCCAAAAGTATCCAGTCGGGTCAAGTCTTTGCAACGATTCTGATGATGTTTGGTATTCAATCATATTCAATCATGCATCATCATATTCAACTGGTTGGTGGTATACCTACCCCTCTGAAAAATATGAAAGTCAGTTGGGATGATTATTCCTAGTATAAGGGAAAAAAGAATGTTCCAAACCACCACGTTATCCCACATTATACGAAGCACTGTCAGGGTCGAAACGCTGACAGTCCTTGGTCAGACTGCAGCCTATGCACATGTCAGAAAAACCCTTTCAAATCGGTCATCTTTGGACCCAAGTGGCAAGTTCTCCAACGTTTTGGATGTACGATGGAAGCCAGTCCTCGAGTGGGCAAGGAGCCATTCATCGACCAGAGCCAATCTTTGATCGCACCACGGCACTGCAGCACACCGAGTATGCATGAAAATGGCCCGAGAGGAAGGGCGGCAATACTGGAACATGCATTTAGTACCATGATGTCGAAGGCACTCACGCATCACTTTACTGAACCATCGTGCTCTTGAAAGGAAAGAAAATGCAGTGAGATCAGCATGTACCGTCAAACGTCCAGGCTTCCATCCATCATAGTTGGTAGGTCCCTCTTCACCACTCAACATGTAATCAATGTACAGTTGGAATTGCGAGACCCATTTGACATGCGCAGTAGCTCCATGCAAAGCCTGCCAAAACCATGAAAGCATACCTCGAAAAATCTCATCTCCATACCACCTCACGGCTGCTCTGGGAATACTGAGTGTGCCCAACATGTGCCAGGAATCAGAAGGCACTGGGGCTGGTTGGCAAACCTCAGCTCGTTCCTCATGTTCTTCCTGATCACGGTCACGCAACACGGCTTTACTGACTGCAAGAAGTGTCCTCTGGACCTCACGTGAAATGTGCTGACAGGCCAAGGTGGCATTAACATGCTTCCCAAACAAGTTCCAGAACTCATCTGAACGCCTTCGTTGAGCATGCATCGCGGTTTGATCAGCAAAGGAGTTATGAGTGAAGGCCCATTCTTCAACTGGAGACATGGCAGAATTAACACCCTGGTGTGCTGCGACCTTGTGTACCACCACTTGCCCAGCACGAAAATCCCCAAGGCATCTGTGAATAAGTCCCCAGAGGTCCGAATGCGCACAATTGGGTTTGTGTTCACAACCTGCCAACAACCGTTCAAGCCTCTTCACAACAGCTCCACAGTCTGACCACACATGTACCTGCTCAGTCTGCAACCTGGCAAGACTCAAGGCTCTCCACACCGCAAAGATTTCAGCACGATACGCACTCTGCAAAAGGCCTGGAAGAGGGCCCAGATCCAACACCTGGGTCAAGGTCAGGTGACATGGTTTGGCAGCTACTACACTCCATGCAGCAAGGCGACACACCGGAAAAGCTTGGTTCATACAGCTACCGTCAGTGAACATGTGGAATGGGGCAGCTATATCCGCAACAGGTTCAGCCACTTGGATCTCCAAATTGGCAAGTGCACTCCACCACTCAAGTTGAGTGTGGGGTCGCAGACTCCACCCATACCCTGACAGGAAATCAGGGGCAGAGGGCAGAAGGTCAAGCACTGCGGCAGGGACATCAGCCCGGACAGCATGAAATTTCTCACATTCCCAAAACCTATGATACCTACTGTCAGTGCACATACAGTAGGGACAGACATCAGTTCCATCCTCCTGACAGTGTGTTTTGCAATCTTGGGTGATATGACAGCCATTCAGGCACTTCATGAAAATGTCCCTATCTTCAGCACCAAGTGTCTTAAGGAAAAGCCTGGTATCCTGCACATCCGCAAATTGGATCATCCTGAGACCTGGACGATGCTGAACTTGCTGGGCTACAACCATTTGCCAAGCCCACTGCGCACGAACCACAATTTCCGACATACTTGCAGAGAAAATTGAAAAGGGGCCAAGGAAGTCATGGATAAAACCCTTCGCGTCAACATGCCAACCTAACATCTGGATGCGGTCAAGCAAGGTCATGGTGACAGTGTTGGTTGGAACACTGCCAGGGGAATCAACAATCTTTGAGATCGCATAGGCAATTTGCTGAGTGTCCCCACAGTCCCTTGCACATTTCAGGGTCTGAATCACCGACCAGAACTGAGGGTCAACAATGGCATGTTCGATCAGCCCCAGTTGGAGCCACGCATTGCACCCTGCTCCTTCCATGTTCAATCCTTTCATCGCACCAGTGCGCAAAGAATGGAAAGCAGCATCACTCAAACCAGTGGCAGCAACAGCATGTAAAGCCCTAGGCCAAGCGGCAACCAGAAGCGCACGGACTTTGGTAACATACTTACAGGCAGAGACTTTCAGTTTCGGCCAAATGTCAGTCATCCCGTGAACACGCTCCATTAAGGTGGCATTTGTGTGCTTCTTGGACATTTGAACATGAGCTCCAAGGTTTTTGGCAGAAAGCACCACACAAAACCCTTGTTGACGCAGGGTAGTACGTCCTGAGGCCGTCAGCGACCAGGTAAAAGTTTTCTTGGCATCAAGTTGGAGGTCAACCGCATTCACAAAAGCATCCAAACATCTTTTGGCACCTGCGATGAGGTCACTATGGGGACAAATCAGCTGCCAATCATCAACATACGAGATGGGGGTGCAAAGCGGAAAGTACACTTGGTGCCACACATGGAAGGCATTGTCAAGCAACAACATTGCAACACAGCTCAAACCACAGCCTTCCGGGAAGCCTGTCACGCTAGGGACACCCTCTGTGAATGAGCCCCGCAACAGAAATCTCCGTCGCATGTCGGCCAAAGCTCCAGCCCATCCAACTAACATGTAACCTGGCAAGCCCATGTGGGCCGCAATCTCAAAGACAACAAGCCTAGGTAACATATTAAAAGCCTTTTGAAGGTCAGCAACCAGGCCAGACAAGTCAATCGCTTGATGAAAGGAATGCTCAATGCACCACAACAACTTCGCCCAAACCTGCCCTGCATATCTGCCAGGCCTACTACCATACAGGCTGTCTGGCATCAGAGGTTCCAGCACCGTCAGTGCATGTTTGGCATGAAAGGAACTCCAGGCCCGATACAATATGCTGAAGACCGTGATAGGGCGAAAATCTGCCGGGGTCCCCGGGGAGGACACTTTGGCCAGACTCACGACCTTTCCATGAACCAACTGTTTCGGCCATTCACCAGTGAATTCAGACTCTCTGAACATGTCACAAAAGGCACGCAGGGCAGAATCAGGCATACGGCGGAGGTCAGCCAAGGTCACCCCATCCAAACCATGAGAAGTTGATCTCTTCTTTTTGCGAAGGATGTCACGAAGATCCTGTGCCTGCATGGAGGGCCAATGAAAGCATCCAGGTGGCAGGTGTTGCTTGGCAAAATCAACAATGACTTTCCATCTCTCCTCAGGAACATCAACATGGCGAAGCCATCGCTGTTTCCAAACCTCCAAAAAAGCATGCTCAAGGTCTTCATGGCTGCCAACATATTTAGTTTGATTGATCGTGTCACCAACTTTCACATGATCAACTTGTTCGACCCACAGCGCATCAGAATCATGATGAACAACCGGCAAGGGCTTACCATCACATGATATGACCAGAGACGTGTCAAAGTCACAGGGGTGATCAAGTGTGATCTGGCCAGTGTCAACATCAATCTCTTCCACCTTGGCCCGGATAGGCTGCAGCAAAACGTCAACCCCTGGTACCATCGGTGGACGAAGGTCAGCAAAAACCAAGTTGGGGTTCATGTCACGTCTGAACCGAGCATACTGTTTGGATTGCTGTTTCAGCAAGGTTTCAAAGTGTCGAGTGGCCAAAATCATCGAGTCAAGCATGGCCTGTGCACAATGTTCATCTGGGGGATACCATGGGCATTCAAGGGGAGCACCAGCAGACTTAAACTCACACGCATACCACCACATGGAAAATTCCGGATGAAACCCCTTGGCACGCATGATGGAGCTCCAGACTTCGGCTTTCACAACACCAACTGGCTTGGTACTGGCAGCAAGACGGACATAGGACTGAAGGCGCCTGGTTTGGCGCACCCACTGTGCATGCCTTGTCGAGGGTCCAAAATACTCAGGTTGGAATTCACCCTGTCGGCCCGACTTAACCGGCGAACATGACTGAGGTCTGCATTTTTTCGGTGAAGTCTTGGAAGCACGTCCCAACATAGCTTTCGTCACTGGCACTTTGCTTTGCAATACAGCATCTTGTTCAATGGCATGCCAAAGGTCATGATATCCCTGAGTCATGGATCCAGGATTAGTCCAAACAACCTCATCAGCAAAAGATTCAGGCCAAGGCAAATCATGGGGAGAAGGCCATACCCTAACCGGAGGCGCCATGCCAGGAGCACGGAATCTTCCCATCAACACTGCATGGTCAGGCCAAATGTCGTCAAAAACAGAGGAATCAACCAACAGGTCTTGCAATTCTGGGGAAAGATACAGGTAATCTTTCCTTGTCTTTCCCTTGCAGGTGGATTGGACTGGAAACCCCCACCGCTCGAGGGCTACATCTTGCAAATCCCTAAACCCTGCACTTCGAAGAAGGTCAAACGCAGGCAAAGAATCCTGTTCAATGTTCCAGTCTCCAGCTACAAATCGCAAACCAGTGTTCAAATTACACAAATGGGCAACAACATGATGCAGTAGGTACTCATTATTCCTTAGGAAGGAAGGATGCAGGTGACTATTGGGTTCACCATACACCACAGCCCCATGAATCCAAGAGTCACCAGCCATCGTAGCAAACATGAGCGCCCGGCCAGAGTCCAAAATTGGCTGAGGAAGAGTACTTGGCACCGCCCTGGTAG